AACGCTTGATAGAGATTCTGTAGGTGTTTGCCTCTGTCTGAAGGATCGGAGCAAATGCGGTTGTATCTTAGAGTTGGCTGTAGACAATGGATCATGTGATGTGGTCTGGATGAAAGCTGGAGGCATGTAGGTAAGTATAGCAGTCAGTAGGTTTCTGGTATAGGGTGGTGTTTATGTGACCATTGCTTATTAGCCCCGTAGTGTCTAGGAAGTGGACCTCTTGTGTGGACTGGTCCAGGCTGAGGTTGATGGTAGGGTGGAAATCGTTGAAATCTTGGTGGAATTCCTCAAGGGCCTCCTTCCCATGGGTCCAGGTGATAAAGATGTCATCAGTGTAGCGCAAATAGAGTAGGGGCGTAAGGGGACGAGAGATGAGGAAGCGTTGTTCTAAGTCAGCCATAAAAATGTTGGCATACTGAGGGGCCATGCAAGTACCCATAGCAGTCCCACTGACTTGAAGGTATAAATTGTTCCCGAATCTGAAATAGTTGCGGGTGAGGACAAAGTCACAAAGTTCAGCCACCAGGTTTGCCGTGATGGTATCGGGGATGCTATTCCTGATGGCTTGTAGTCCATCTTTGTGTGGAATGTTGGTGTAGAAGGCTTCTACATCCATAGTGGCTAGCATGGTGTTTTCTGGAAGATCAAGGGATTGTAGTTTCCTCAGGAAGTCAGTGGTGTCTCGAAGATAGCTGGGAGTGCTGGTAGCGTAGGGCCTGAGGAGAGAGTCTACATAGCCAGACAATCCTGCTGTCAGGGTGCCAATGCCTGAGATGATGGGGCATCCAGGATTCCCAGGTTTATGGATTTTGGGTAGCAGGGAGAATACCCCGGGTCGGGGCTCTAGGAGTTACTGTACAAGGCAGATTGGTGGAAGCTATAATAAAGAATGGAATTATCAGATGAACATGGTATGCTGGGGAAGAGTGAACATGGCTTTTGCAAAGGGAAATCATGTCTTTCCAATCTATTAGAATTCTTTGAAGGGGTCAGCTAATATGTGGATATGGTGTACTAGGACTGTCAGAATGTGTACTTAGTCTCACTTCCTAAGTGAAGTAAGCAGTCATGGAATAGGAGGGAAGGTCTTATGGATCTGTAACTGGTTAAAAGATAGGGGGGGAAAGGGTAGGAATAAATGGTCAGGTTTCACAGTGGAGAGTGGAGAGAAACCCCCCAAGGATCTGTACTGGAAACTGCTGTACCAGTGATGGAAAAAGAGGTAAGCAGTGAGGTGGTGACATTTGTACAGTATGTGTTACAAAATTACTCAAGATACTTATGTCCAAAGCTGACTGCAAAAAGTTTACAAAGCAATCTCACAAAACTTGGTGACTGGACAACAAAATGGCCAACGAAATTCAGTGTTGATAAATGCAAAGTAATGCACATTGGAAAACATAATCCTAACTACATCTCTACCCCGATATAACGCGACCCGATATAACAGTAATTTGGATATAATGCGGTAAAGCAGTGCTCTGGGGGGGGGGGGGGGGCTGCGCACTCCGGCGGATCAAAGTAAGTTCGCTATAACGCGGTTTTACCTATAACGCGGTAAGATTTTTTGGCTCCTGAGGACAACATTATATCGGGGTAGAGGTGTATACATACAAAATGATGGGGTCTAAATTAGCTGTTGCCACTCAAAAGAGATATCTGGGAGTTATTGTGGTAGTTCGCTGAAAACCTCGGCTCACTGTACCACCGCAGTCAAAAAATAACAATGTTAGGAACCATTAGGAAATGGATAGATAATAAGACAGAACATATCATAATGGCCACTATATAAATCCATGGTACTCCCACACCTGGAATACTGTGCGCAGTTCTGGTTGCCAAAGGACATTATGGTCAAAAAGATATATTACAACTAGAAAAGCTACAGAGAAGAGCAACAAAAATGAACAGGCATATGGAACAGTTTCTATATAAGGAGAGATTAAAAAGACTGAGATGGTTCATCTTAGAAAAGAGATGACTAAGGGGGGATAAGGTAGAGGTCTATAAAATCATGAATGATGAGAAAATGAATAAGAAGTTTACTTATCCCTTCACATAACACAAGGTCCAGAGGTCACCACTGAAATTAACAGGCAATAGGTTTAAAACAAACAAAAGAAAGTATTTCTTCACACAATCAACCTGTGGAATTTGTTTCCAGGGGATGTTGTGAAGGTCAAAAGTATAACTGGGTTCAAAAAAATTAAATAAGTTCATGGAGGTTAGGTTAATCAATTGCTATTAGCCAGGATGGTCAGGGATGCAATCCCATGCTCTGGATGTCCTTAAATCTTTGAGTGCTAGAAGTTAGGACTGGACAACGGGATGGATCACTCAATTGCCCTGTTCTGTTCATTCCCTCTGAAGCATCTGGCAATGACCACTGTCAGAAGACAAGATACTGGGCTAGATGGACCATTGATCTGACCCAGTATGGCTGTGCTTAGGAGACTGTGGCTCCAGCAAAGACTCAGACTAGCCTAACCTAATCACAAATGAGTGCAGCGTTGTAAGCAAATCCTGGGTAGAGTTCAGACTGCTTCTACGCACTGCGGTGATTGGCATATTGAAATGACATAGATAGGCCCAAGCCTGGCAAACATTTCAGAGCATGAATAACTTTACAGACCTGAGTAGGGGGCTTGGGCCAGCCCTGCCTGTTGTCCCATTTTCACTTTGGGAAATAGGGTCACCATAGGCAGGCAGCACAGATGCAGGCATGGAACACTATTGAGTAGCTAGAGTCCCAACCCTGCTTCAGGGTTTAAGAATGTGTCTGCGGGAGCCTTCAGCCAGTCAGAGGGGCAGGTTCATCAGGTGAATCAGCAGAGGGCAGTAAGCTGTGCCTGGATTCAGCTGTGGGTCCCTGACACAATAGAGGGGATCACTCCTATAACTTGCTTCTTTGGCAAGATATTCAAGCTTAATGAAGAAAGATCAAGTCCTTAAATTTCTCCATATGAGTTAGTATTGTACCCCATCCAGTGGCAGATCTTGGTATTGCATTATTATATCTTTCTCCAGTCTTCCTTGAAATGTGTTGAAATGTGGTAAATCACTTGATGATTACCTGTTCTGTTCATTCCCTCTGGGGCACCTGGCATTGGCCACTGTCGAAAGATAGGATACTGGGCTAGATGGGCCTGTGGTCTTAGCAAACATTTTTATGTACATTGATACTTTTAATATAAGAATTCCTTCCACTAACAGTGCCAAGAAAGATTGGCATGTCTGGAAATTTTTCTGAGACTCTCTGTGTGTTTGGAGGGCAAAATGTCATGCTAGGCTACTTTGTTATTCACCTATGCTTATGTGCCTTCCTGAATCAGTGCCTGTGTTAATTCCATCCCTATTCAAAACAGCACTTAAGTATGTGCTTAAGTCCCATTGAGTTGCCATCTGTTTGAAGTTAAGCCTGTGCTGAAGTGCTGTCATGAATAGGGTGTTTTCCTAAACTCGGGCCATAGGTATGTCTACACAGCCCATCCTATGAGCCTCCGAGCCTGGGGCAGCAGACTTGGACTCACAGGGCATGTGCTACCACACTAAAAATAGCTGTGTAGATGTTGCTGCTCAGGTTGGAGCTTGGGCTCCAGAGCCCAAGCTCCAGCCCGAGCCGCAATGTCTACACAGCTACTTCCAGTGCTGTAGCATGAGCCCCATGAGCCTGAGTCTGTCGGGCCGGGCTCTGAGACTCACTGCCAGTCGCTGTGTAAACATATCCAAAGAGACAAATGTTTCAGATCAAGAATGTATTAAATAGCTTTACCCAGCCAAAATAAATCCTCCAAGCCCCCTTTAAAAATATCACATAACTACTTTTAACTCCTTGTTAGTCTCTAAGGTGCCACAAGTACTCCTGTTCTTTTTACTTTTAACTCCGTATCTGGTTCTGAAAATATCAGCCACTGCAAACAACCTGCACTCATGAAAAGTGATATTGAAAAGGAACTGACTGGGAGTATTTTTACATGCATGTCTAAGTTTCTTTGACTTTCTTTTACCTATGGTCTGGCAGTCTTGTGTTGTATGGCAGTGAATGGCCTGCATTATCCATAGATGACAATGTCAAATAGTTTTAAACTACGTGGCTTAGTTCTCCATTGCCCTGAGGCCACGTCATGCTGCTCTAGCAGAGTAAAGGGGCCTAAAAGTGGGTGGAAATGGCCACCTCTCAAACTGGTGTAGGACAAGCATAAAGGCTCTAAACTTCTGCTGGAATAGTACTGGTGCTCCTTGGAGTGCTGTGTTCAGACAGTGGCTTTCTTTATGGTCCACCTCACAACCCCAGCATATTCAACAAAGAAAGAGAGTGTAACTTAACCCTACTGTTCTGCTCATATGGTTTTAGCCTCCTATGTTTCCTGGTCATGGGTTAGTAGTCTGAATTTGGCTTTAGGCTAATCTGAAAGTTTTCAGTCAAAATTTGCATTTAAACTGGCTGTGTAGCTTAATCTATGTGACTTGGCATAATAAAAACATAACCTTTTAAAGCAAACTGCTATTTTACTGTACCTAAACAGTTACATTATATTTCACTATCACTTTGTTTCTTTACATGGTTCGCATATGGGGATGGAGTGGAGTGGAATGGAATGGTTTGCCGACCCAATTACACAGCAGCAGCTGTCAGATCTGCCAGCTGGGACTTTGGAGTTTTTCAGTAGGATAAGAATTCTGGGGCTTGTGGAGGCTAAGCAAATTATAGAGTTGTTTGCAAGAAATGTGTGTCAGCTGCATTGTTAAGACCACATCTTCTGCCAGCTAATCTATGTGCTTTACAATAAGATTAAACACAGAGGTGCAGATTCTGATACCCATATTCCCATTAAATAGCTCTTGTAAGCCCTGTGTGAGCAAGGGTAAATCATAATCTTGCACAGAGATGGGCAAATAAAAGCCAAGTGATGCCCCAAATAATTAGTATCTCTGAAATAAATTATCAGAAGGAAAACACAGGGATGGTTCTAAGGGCTTGTTTGTTATGCTTTTTGCAGGGTGAAAAAGGATTTTCTGGTGCTCAAGGTGTACCTGGCCAGACAGGTTTCTGTGGCCCTGAGGGACCTCCAGGGCCACAGGGACCCACGGTAGGTTGCTGACCTGTGTGTGTGTGGTTTACAATTTTGCTCAAAAATGTTGTAAAATGTACTTAGTCAGGATTTACAGAGTTGCTGCTTGGCTAATTACTGAAAGTAATTGATGAGAGCACAGGCATAACACTTCTGATGACTAGCACTAGAGCCTATGAACCATATTCAGAGGGGAATCCAAATGAGAGCAAATGACACATAGCTACAGAACTACGTCTTATTCTGCTTCCCCCCCCTTGCTTGTAAATACTGGTTCTCCGCTTGTAAGGTAACTCCCTTCTCTTCATGTGTCAGTATATTTATGCCTGCATCTGTAATTTTCACTCTATGCATCTGAAGAAGTGGGTTTTTTACCCACGAAAGCTTATGCCCAAATAAATCTGTTAGGGCTTGGCTACACTTGCTCTAGCGCATTAAATCAGCCCCAGGGGCCCTAACTCCTGAGGTGTCCACACTGGCAAGGCACTTAGAGCACCTGGACTCTGCAGCTGGAGCGCTCCTGGTAATCCACCTCCACGAGAAGTATAAAGCTTGCTGTGCCCCAGCTGAAACGCCCTGGTGTCAGCGTGGACGACGTGCTGCATTACTGCGCTGTGATTGGCCTCTGGAAACATCCCATAATCCCCTGAAGTCAAGTGGCCACTCTTGCCATTGTTTTGAACTCGGCTGCAGGCATGCAGATATCCCCTTTCAAAGCTCCATTTCTGACTGCGGGCATGCTTATCTGCTCCAGGACAAAGCAAACCATTACTGTGGAATGCTGTGAGTGTGTGTGTGTGTGTGTGTGTGAGAGAGAGAGAGAAAGAGGCAGGGGGAAGGGGGATCTGCTGCTGTCTGAACTTACAAGACAGCATGCTGACACACTCTCTGCCCCCCAAAACACACAGTTTCTCCCCCCACATACACACAACACACTCCCTGTCACACTCCACCCCCACCCTCCCCATTTGAAAAGCACGTTGCAGCCACTTGCACAGTGGAATAGCTACCACAATGCACTGCTCTTTGTGCTGTTGCAAGAGCTGCTAATGTGGCCACGCCAGTGCCCTTGCAGCTGACAGTGTAAAAACAGAGCAGCATTTTCCCTGCTGCAGTCTCCGAAGGCTGGTTTAACTCCCAGCGCTCTACATCTGCAAGTGTAGCCAAGCCCTTAGTCTTTAAGGTGCTACCGGACTCCTAGTTGTTTTTGTGGATACAGACTAACACGGCTACCCCCGGCTAATTGTTTCATAGACACTCGAAAATTAGATCGGCCCAGCTACATTGCTCCGAGGTATGAAAAATCCACATGCCAAGCGATGTAGTTAAGCCAGCCTAAGTCCCCGTGTAGACAGCACTAGGTCAATGGAAGAATTCCTCCATCAACTTAGTTACCACCTCTCGGGAAGGTGGATTAGCTACTCTGACTGGAGAACCTCATCAGCATTAGTAGGGTCTACACTGAAGTGCTACCGCAGCTCAGCTCATAGGCGCCTACTCCGTGGGTGCTCCAGTTTCCCCCCCTTCCCAGCTCCTCCTGACCTCTGCGATCAGCTGTTCCGTTGTGTGCAGGAGGTGCTGGGGGGGGGCGGGGGAGGGGGAGGAGCAGTGACAGGGCGTGTGTAGCAAGGTCGAGACTCACCGGTGTGGCGCCTCCTGCTGGTCGTCTCAGGAATTAGCTCTCCAGCTTATGAAGCACCTGCTTCTGGCCGGTGTCTCGCCTGCCTTAGGCCCCGTGTCCCTCCCAGACCCCGGTGCCCTTTACCTCGGGGTTCTGCCCTGCAGTACCCCCACACTCTGGGTCTCCCCTCCCATGGGAACCCCCAACCCTTTAAGCCCATCTCGCTTCAGTGGCTACTGTCAGTCATCATCTAGCTCCCGTTCACTGGAGCAGACTGCAGTGTAATTGCCACTCATCATTGGCAAGGGGGGTTGGACCAGCGGACCCAGGCTGCACCTCTGCAACTCCAGTACCTGCTTTGGCCTTTAGCAAGGCCTGCAGCCTGGGGATTTGCCAGGCTGGAGCTCCCCAGCTCCTCTTGCCTTTCCCCAGCACTGCTCTGTTCAGTAGCCTGCTCCCAGCAGGTAGGCCCTTCGAGAGAGAGAGAGAGAGAGAGAGAGAGAGAGACAGTGACTGACTGACTGACTGACTCTTTGCCTTCTGGCCCTGCAGCCCTTTTATAGGGCCCAGCCTGGCCCTGATGGGCTGCCTCTCAGCCTTTTCTGATTGGCTCTCAGCCCCAGCCCTTTCCAAGGGCTGGCTTTTAACCCTTGCTGAGGCCATAGTGGGGTGACCACCCCTCTACAACATGCTTGGGGGAGGGGTTGGAACTGGATGGGAAGAAGCAGGGGTGGAGTGGGAGCGGGAAGAGACAGGGCAGTGTGGGGGCTTGTGGGAAGGGGTCGGGTTGGGGCAGGGCCTGGGGAAGAGCAGGGGGGTTGAGCACCCCCGGGGCCTGGAGGAAGCCGCCACCTGTGACTCAGCTGCATCGTTTTAAGTATAGACAAGCCCTTTGACTCTCACCCGCTGACTGCACCACTGTATCATTTACATGTCCCCACTGCATACATCACCTCTGAATTTCGCATACTGAGGGTATGTCTACATTGCAAAAAAAACCCGCAGCAGCAAGTCTCTGAGCTCAGTCAACTCATGGGATTCACTTGTGGGTCTAAAGATAGCAGTGTAGATGTTCCCACTCAGACTGGAGCCCGGGCTCTGAAACCCTGCAATAGGGGAGGGTCTCAGAGCCTGGACTCCAGTCCAAGTGGGAATGCCTGTACTGCTATTTTTAGACCCATGGTGCAAGCCCTGAGACCCCAAGTCAGTTGACGCAGATTTTGAGACTTGCTGCTGCAGGATTTTGTTTGTTTGTTTTTCAGTATAGACATATCCTGGGTGTAATAGAGGGATATGGCTCGGCTGAAATTTTCCATCAAAGCTGTTTTTTGACAGAAAATTTGGTTTTCCATACTGAACAATTTTTTTTGCAAGAAGTGACTGCTTTCTATGGAATCTGTAGCTTTTCTCCTCAAAACTTTTGGGTTTTGAGTTCTTGGCAGAAAACTCAGCTATCTGTGGAAAATGTCAATCAAAGGGTATTTTTTTTTTTTGTCAAAACTTTCTATGAGGGAATTGATTGATCAGGCTCCTTCTCTCTTGGGTTTCTTTCATGGACTGGATTCTCCCGTATACCAGCATGGGCTTTTTTATACACTTCCTCCATCATGTCAGGTGTAAGTAAGTAAAATTCATGCCAAGAGGCTAGCAGAGAGGGAGGTAGCAAAACAACTAACAGGAATGTGCCATAATGTCTCTGTTGAAGTAGATCATCTCCTGCTGGGACTTAAACCTTCTTCCAGCTCCTCATTGTGTAAGTTCAACTTACACAACATTAAGAGGTTTAAAGAGATATAAAGAAGTCCTGAGTGTAAGGGAGTGTACAACAGCGTGATGGTTGTCACAGGTCCAGTCAAGCTTCCGCTGCTGGACACTCACCAGACTGCTGAGAGAGGGGTCCAGCCACAAGATCCTGTGTGTGTTTAAGCCTCCAGATTCTGAACAGAACCCATATACTGTTCCGGTCTTGAGGCCTCTGGACACACTCTTGGGGTACAGATCCTTTGTCTAGCATCCCATCCTGAGAGATGCAACCACACAGCCCACTGCTAAGCCCCTCAAATCAGAGCTAACCACTCAGACTCCCTTGTAGTTTAAACACGCCCTTTCCCAGAGATTCAGCCCAGTGGAGTTCTGAACCCACAGTTTACCACTTCAAGGGATACATGGTAGGTGTTACACGTACAACGCACATAAGCTTTGCACAGGATTCTAACACCATTGCACTTAACTGCATGAGAAATACACAGGTCTATACCAAAACAATAAACCCTACATGAGTTTCCCTGCTTCAGTTTCCTCACCACTCCAGCACATTCTTTGGGCTCTGGTCATCAGGGCCGGCTTTAGGCCAATTCCACCAATTCCCCTGAATCGGGCCCCATGCCTAAGAGGGCCCCGCGCCCAGTGGCAGGGCCGCCCAGAGTGGGGGACAAGTGGCAGAGAATCCCTTCCCTGGCTAGAGGCGCCTTTTTAATTTTTACTCACCCGGCGGCGCTTCGGGTCTTTGGCGGCACTTTGGCGGCGGGTCCTTCACTCGCTCCGGGTCTTTGGCGGCACTTTGACGGGGGGTCCCTTCAGTGCCGCCGAAGACCTGGAGCGAGTGAAGGACCCGCCGCCAAAGACTAGGAGCGCGGCCCAGTGAGTACAAGCCCCATGTGTTTTTTTTACGTGGTTTTTTTTTCAGTCATCCCTGTTGGGGCCCTGTCAAAACTGTTCGAATCGGGCCCCGCACTTCCTAAAGCTGGCCCTGCTGGTCATAGTGATCTGGGGCATCCAGGATCTTTCTGCTGCAGTGCACGGCTTGTGTTCTGAAACATGGAGCCTTCTCTCCCCGGCTAGGCTTCTCTGACCTTGGCTGGTCCGTCCCCTTCCTTCCTCCTCCTCAAAGCTTCTTTTGTGGCCCTGTGAGTCTCTATATGTCCCACCACCAATACCTGAAACAGACAAGCTGGAGGAGGTGGCTTATAGGTCAGAGTGCAGTCATTAAAGTTAAGTACTCTCCATTGTGCTTAGTTTGGTATGTATTTGCTACAGGTCCTGTCAGCCCATGGTGGATACACGTAGGCATAGAGGCATTCATTCCATGATACAATAATTTTCATAACAACAACTTCACAATATTAACCAGAATTCATAAGTTGTATGGACACATTGCCCGAATACCACAATAGCATCTGTTGCATCTAATGTCATCCTCTTACACATCACCTCTAAATTTCGCCCTCTCTATTTACAGTTGGCATTATTGCAGCTTGTCATTTAACCAGAATGTTTTTATACGTAATATTTTAATTTTATTTTCAACGCAATAGAGCAATGTGTGTGTAAAGACTATCCATACAGGACAAACACAATAACCTTGAGCCACAGATTGTGATGTGGAGTGATTTCTTAACAATTTGCTATCCAAGAACTATGTTTATCATCATTAGAAATGGATAAAACCAAATTGGTGCTGCGACAAATAATAAAACAAAAGAAAAGGGGAAAAAGGAGAAGAAGGAATCCTCTGCAATGATCTCTTCTCATTGATTCGTAGGAACTGTCAAGCTGCATAGGGATTTGCACTGTGTCCTGGAAGAGTGGAAAGAAACATTTGCAATTATTTAATTCGTTTATTACAAATTTATTTTATTCAAATTTGTCTCAGACAAAGAGTTCTGTTATCAGGAAATCACCTCCTCAAACAACAAATTACTTTGTGTGTAAATAAATCCTGCTTGTAATTTTTGTTTGGATACTGTTTCAATATTTGGTATAAATCCATGCTGTGTTTACAAGAATGTTGCAAAGGTATTTTGTTCAACTGGTTAAAAAAAATGTTAAGTGGAACAAATATACTTTTATCAAAGGGGAAGTGACTCAAAAGTACAAATATTAACTCCAGTAGGTATGTTTGTGAATAAGGATGGTCCTATCCAACATGGACCTCTCCGCAGTTATGCATTCCTTTGCTATCCCCTGGGTGGACTGTTGTAATGCATTCTGTTTACTTATACTTTAAGGCCTCAACGTAATGTATAAACACACATACTCCAGTATTCTAGCCTCTGCAGTCTTTCAGTTCCCTTTTGGGTGCAATGGAAGGTGCTGGTTATTGTCTATAAAACCCTAAATGACTTGAGACTTAACTCTCTCAGTGACCACCTCCCCAAATAGCACTGTTGATTTTTGTTGGGCCTGTAATGGGATGAATACCTTTTGAATAATCAGCGGGTATGGTAGAGGCTGGGGTTTGTGCCGACTGTTGTGAATTTTTGTTCATGTTAATTTCTGTAGTGCACAAGATGTGAACAATATAAATAAACAAAATAAATGAGTTGTATGTTCTGATCTTGGCATTATAAACATTGCACAAAGATTTAATACATGCTTTTTTTCTGTTTGGTGTTTAGGGTTTTCCAGGGCGGATAGGTTTAGTTGGACCCAAAGGTGAAAGGGTAAATATATATTTAAGCAAACTTTTAATGTATTATGTATCCTGTTTATTATTAAAGTGATTTAATGACTGCCTTTTCTATAAAATCAAATAAAAACACTATATTGTGTTACTATATTTTTTAAAGATGTGGCACTGAACTCCCATTTTTTCCTTTTTTAGAACTGTAGCTGCTGTTTTTCAATTTGCTGTGCTGCATATATGAGATTTCATGCATGTGTTTATGAAGTATTGGCCTGTTTTATGTAGGAGTCAGCCTAGATCATAATGGTCCCTTCTGGCCTTAAAATCTGTTAATCTCCATGTAACAGTTTACAGTCATATGAGGTCTGCCCATGGAATAGTGGGTTAGGTAAAGTGTAGTAGTCAAATGAAAATCCCCTGATAGACTACCTTCTGTTTAATGCTTATTGTTTTTACAAATGGAGTAAAAAAATGTATTGCATGCATTTTTCCTATTAATTTGAATTATTCTTTCTCTGTTTCTTTTTGTATCATTAGGGAATGCTAGGATTACCTGGTTTTTCAGGTCTCCCAGGTCTTCCAGTAAGTAAAATAAAACAAGATAAACCAAGTCCTCTACTTATACAGCATCTCAGTATTCCCCAACCCAGTGTCAATTTCAGCATTGTCTCTATCAATTAACCTAGAGATAACAATCTTGGTATCAGCAATTCTTATTCACCGTACTGTATCCACGTAAACTATTTCAGTGTAGTTACAGGAAAATATAAATGTTCAATAACAAATCTGTCAATTTTGAACTTGTTTAGGGTGAACCAGGAAACATTGGTCCTCCTGGAGGTCAAGGAATTCCAGGATGCAATGGCCCAAAGGTAGGGATCAAGTAGAACGTGATGACAATGGGGATTGCCAGGAGCTAAGCTTAAAAATCAGTGGATACTGCCCAAAAGTATTCTCAAACATTTTCTCAAATGCACGGCAGAGTTCTTTTGTTGCAGCTTGCAACTTCACTGATTGATCGGAGAGAGATTCTGTTCACAAAAATAGTCATGGAAAGCAAAAGTGTTGCAAGTACTTGTGTGACAATCTTTTCTTTGTCTTCTATATTGTTTTTACCTACCCTGAAGATGCAGGATGATGGGAACTGGAATAATCATAAGCAATTTCACTCAGCAGTTTGAAATTCTATGTTCTGTATTGTGCTTTGAGCCTCTATTCTTGGTATGGGTATGAGTCCTGAACTGCAGCCTGAGGAAAAGTTAAAGTCTGTAGTTAATCACTTTATTTCAAGTTTTCATTTTATTTGACCCCAAAATGGCTTTCATCTAGCCTTACAGTCATAGGCATAGTTTGGGTGGTGCCAGGGGGCATTGCCCCCCCAAACCAGAGGGGAGGCATGGCGGGGGGCAGGTCATGCGCCCCTCCCCCCATTTCTGCAAGCATTGAGCTGCCCTGCAGGGCTTGCTCTATTCGGCCTGGAGTAGGGGGAGAAGGTGGCTTTGTCATTCCCATGCTGCACTTCCCCTCCTGCCCCCTCCCCTCCTGCCAGCACTTTCCCCCTGTGCTCCGGGTCCTCCATCAGCAGATGGGCACGCCTCCTGGGTCCTAGTGCCGGCCCCTTTCCTCTACAACCATGAGTGCCCACGGGGGTGGAGGGGGATGTGAGGAGAAGAGGCAGTGGGAAAGGGGGGGTGGAATGAAGCGGGGGGAGAGGAAGGAGGAGGGGATGGGGAAGAGAAGGGGATATGGGAATGAGCGGGAGGAAGCAGGAACCCGGCATGTGGCGTCCCCTGGGCAGCAGCAGCCCCAGCCCCAGCAGGGAGGCAATCGCAGCAGCACCAGAGCAGCGACATCGCTGCAGCAGCCAGTGCTGGAGTGGCCACCAGCAGCAGCTGGGGCTTCCCCTTTACCGCGTCCCCTCCACCCCCCCCTGCACTGGCAGCCTAGGTACCACTGTCGGTGGGGGGAGACACCAGTGAACCCAGGGGACTGGCTTCAGTATGCACATGTGCCTGGGCTCACTTTGCCCACCCAAATATAACAGTCAAATTACGTCTATGCTTACAGTAAAGGAAACTGAATATTCCGTAATACTCTAGGAGCACAGGAAAGGACTAGTTAATCATGAATAAATATTGAAAATGCATCAGTGGCTTTTGTAACAGTTACAATGTTTATTACTGTCAGGGTGAACAAGGATTTCCAGGGCCTCCAGGGCCAGGAGGTGCTCCAGGCAAACCAGTAAGTGGTAACATTAAACAGAATGTGCATTTCTACCATATAAAGCCCTTAATTCCTTAAAGCTTAAAACGGTTGTTAATATATTAATTAATTAAGCCCCACAATACACCTGTGAGGTGGGATAATATTAGTATCCCCACTGGCTGGAAAACAGTGAAAAGCTTAAGAGAACATTTTCAAAAGTGACCTGATTTTGGGGGCCCAACTTGAAACACATTGGCTTGGAGCTTCACAGGTGATGGACACCTGCAGTTCTTGCTATCTTTGGTTGAAGTTGTGGATGCTCAGTACTTTCTGCATATCAGGCCTTGGGTGTCTCAAGCTGGGCATCCAAAACAGGAGGCACCCAAAAAAGTCCTCCTACACCCCAAAAAGAGTCAGGCCGCACAAATCAAATTTACAATAATTTTGAAATCCCAGCTGGTAGGCTGGCCACTTTCCAACAAGTCCATTCTTCTGAGATTGAAGTCTGGCGCATAAGGCATGAAATTCATCCTTGTGCATCAGAACCAGCCAAGGTTACTCACCCATGCCATTCATGAAAATAAGTCATTTTCTTAAGTTTGCCTCTACTAAACATCTTGACTGCCCTTATCACCTGTGTTACCAGTTGCCTTTTTTAACAATATGGTTTTTATTATTTTTACTGTCCCTAGGGTATTGATGGCCTCAAAGGAGATAAGGTAAGTTATTCACAGTATGTTGTATTGAATATTCATTGAAGAGCAAAACTTTGAATTTGTACAGCTGTTGGTAAAAGATCTATAATAGCTATCTTCATCCACTGCAGCTAGAGAGCTTATTTCCCCAGAAGAAGAGCAGTGCAGCTAATACCAGAACCTAGTATATGATTGCCACATTCATCCTTGGTTACAATTCAATATTTCTTATTTTCTGTGATTACTATTACTGAGTGTTGTAAGAGTATTCTTTACAAACACACCAAGGACCAGGTCCCTCTCCCAAAGAGCTTATAAGTGCCATGCAGACACTGGATAAGAGTTCAGATCAAAGGAGTTCAGAAATGATCAGGAAGATCATTTTTGGAACGCTTCAGAAGAGTGTGTTTGAAGAGGAAGACCATTCTAACCACAGGGGCAGGAAGAAATGAGGCATGAAGATGAGTTACTGTGAAAAGTCAAGTACTGAGTCTAGTTAATATGGGCTCTGTTTCATTTAAACACAGCAGTGTGTTGCCCACCCCAGGGGTTGCTACAGGAAGAATTCTTCCTTGAGGCAGAATTCTTCCCAGAATGCCCAAGCACATAGACTGCAGAATGCCTGTACTGCTACATGGCTTTATGAAAATGCAGTACTCTCTTCTGTGCACAGGGACCAAGGCCGTGACCTTTTTTCCTGCTGCACCTCCTTGAAGGTGTCTTTCAGCCCCGCTTGCCTGGAGATAGCAATCTGCACACTCCATGGAGTTCAGGCAAATATGCCTGACTGCTGCACAGATTATTAAAGGGAGCTCCTTGAGCCCTCCACCTTTCATGTACACTTGTGAAGCAGTTGAACACAACATGAATCTGAATATTTTGGGTCTGATTCTTCACTACATTATACTGATTTCACCGGATGAAAACCAGAGTAACACAGCAGTGAATCAGACTCTTTTCCTTTCAGAAGTTCTTACAGTTTTTTTAAAATACAGCAGTGTTGTACAAAGACTTTGGAGATGACCATGATAATGTGGTCTGAAGTGCTTTCATCCTGTTAGCAGCACTCTTACCCTGGTGGGAACAAAGACACAAATAAATAAACAATAAAGCAAAGATGACGTTGATGTAAGTGATATAAAGAAATAAAACGAGATTTTGGCCCCCGCTTGAATGTTTTACTCTAGGAACTGTTCTTATGTAGAGAACTTGACACCGTCAGTTACATGATGCAATTCCTTTTGGGCCAGATTCTGATCTTCGTTACCCCAGTGTAAGTCCACAGTAACTCTAGTGAAATCAGGTGTAACTCAGATCAGGTAGAAAGAGGCTCTCTGTATTCTGTTGGAGATTATGCAAATTGCCAATAATAGAACTCTTGTAATAGAATCCAATAAACATATCCTTAAAAGAAAACGTTAGATAAAACCAGGTATGTGTGTGAAGGAGGTACGTGTAGGTCTAAAAAGAAGGAGGTTCATAAGGACCAAGAAGTACAGATCATATGTACATATCATGTAGTATGTATTGAATAATGATTTTTTTTTTTTTTGGTAGAATTGTCCATAATAGACAATAGCCAGCATTAGGAGATTTCTGATGTTGGATTTCTCTACTGTGTATCTTATTGTGAGCTTTATTGCCTTGAGTTATACAAACGAGTTTCATATTATAACAGTTGATGAGGCTTTTTTAATTACTTATTGTCAAGGGGTGCCCTGCAAGTGGATATGACCCAGGATATGATGGAAGAGGTGACCCTGGATTACCAGGAATACCTGGACGCCAGGTAATTAAAAGAATTTACACTTTGTATATTTTTTTTTAAAAAGTAATGTATTATTGTTCTTAAATCAGAAAATAACTTCAGTTCTGAATGTGATATTGGGTTTATATTATAAAGGTGAGAGATATAAAGTTATTCTTTTTATCCCTTTCAAAATTCAAATTTCCCCAAGCCAGTAGGGGTCAGTTTTGCTTGCTAGGACTGGTGCTGTTTACTATATTTGTTAAGTATAGGGAAAAGGGGGTGAACAGTGAGGTGGCACCATTTGCAGATGAGACAGCATTAATTAGGGCAGTGGTTCTCAAACTTTATTTTTTTTTTGCGGACCACTTGAAAATTGCTGAGGGTCTCGGTGGACCACTCAATGATCTTTCCAAATGTTGTTTGTACCATTAGCTAACTATTGTAAAGCGCTTTGGATAAAAGCGCTATATAAAAAAAAACGTAATAATTAACTTTTTTTGTTCTATAAATAAAAGCACACAACTCATATTAATATCAGTAGTCGTACCTTTCTAATGCAATGGATGTGCCCTCTCTCCCCCGCCATGGCAGCCACCAAGCTGGGCTGGGAAGGGGGCGGGTGTCTCTCCCCTTGCACAGCAGTCACAGAGCTGAGGCTGGGAAGGAGGGCTGTCTCTCCCTGGCAGTCGCAGCCCTGGAGCTGGGGGAAATCGCCTCTTTCTCTGGCCGCTTCAGCCCTGCACGTCCCAAATTCCCCCATTCCCTCTTCTCACCCCACTGACCCCTTCCACCCACCGCCTATTCCCCCCAAGGCCACCACCTCACCTTATATGTGAGTCTTCTCCAGCGTCCAGGCACCTAATTAGTAGAGCCACACCTGCACAGCTCCACTAATTAAGTGGGTGGCCCTTTATTCTCTTGTGTGTGGCCGCCCAGGCACACACCTTAGAGGGAACTATCTGCAGACCATCTGAATGGAGCTCGCAAACCACTGGTGGTCCACAGTTTGAGAACCTCTGAATTAGGGTAATTGAAGCTGGAGAAGAGTGTGGGGTACTTCCAAATTATCTAATAAAGGTTGTTGAATAGGCAGCATTATAATAAATAAAATTCATTGTTGATGAATGCACTTTGGATGGAATAATTTGATCTACTGCTAAACATTGATGGTTTCTAAATTAACTAACCACTGAGGGAAAACATCTGGACAACATTGTGGACAGCTTAATAAAGACCTTTATTCAGTCTGCAGTGGAGGTCAAGAAGCAAATGAAATGTTATGGTACTTAAATAATGGATTTGAAAATATCAAGCCTTTCTGTGATTCAAAAATATGCTCTAACCTGGATTACTTTATTTAGCTCTGGTCACCCAATCTCAGAAGGGCTATATTAGAGATAGAGAGATGGGCAACAATAATGCTTAGAGAAATTTTCATATGAAGAGAGACTGAAAAGATCCTGACTGTTTAGAGAGAAGAATAAATAGAGAGAACATGGTAAAGGTGTACAAAGGTGTATATCCTCGTGTTACAAGGCACAAGCCAACCAGTAACTGGTGGAGTTAGGAAGAAATGTTCCATCTGGGTGGTTATTCCATAAGTGTCCACAGAGGATATGTCTAAACTGCAAGGTAAACTCAGGGTTCGATCTCAGGCTAAAGCCTGTTCTCTCTTCCGTCTACATACAAATCGCACTAACCCAGATCACGGACCCAGGTGCCAAGACCCCCAGGGGTGGAGGGTTCGACCCTCAGTCAATCCAGGAGCCAGGGCTCAAACCCTATTGCTTTGCAGGGTAGATGCAGTCCCACTGGACTCATGTTCTGGGAGTCCACCAAAAGTATCCCACAATCCCATGGGCTGACTTTCTTTGTGGTCTGGACAGTCAAGTTTGATGGACAGTCAGATTTTTCTCATACTGCTCCACAAACAAAGGGCTAGAGTGGCTACATATTGAGAGGGACACTAGGAAGTCTGGAATAATGGTGGTTGGACTAAGGCCCACATAATGCTGTGTAGATCCTGGAGCCCCGGGTTGGGTCCCAGAGTCCAACAATTCCTAGCCTGGGATTACAAATGAGTGTAGATGCTCAAGCCCTAGGCTAACAAACCCAAGGTCTGCTAACTCGAGTTCTACTAGCTCTGGGCTGACATTACAGCGTAGACATACCCTAAAGGACTTATGGCACTTTCCTGTGGATATGGCTGTTTTCACGGACAGGATTCAGGATTATTAGGAAGACTACTGGTCTGGTCCAGGATGGCAATTCTTTTGTTCATAAGTGGTCCTGCCCAATTTATTGCAAATTTGACCAATATTTGTGAAATAGCAGTAATGATTTCCATGGAAAAACTGTAATTTTTCCATTGAGGTTTTTGGTTCCATAGTTATAAAAACCTATACTTAAAAGGTGATTTTTATCATTAATATAAAGACATTAAAAACAAAAGCCTGGATTAAATAACATTGCACTGAGACATGAAAAGAAGGAAATTTAGAGATAACATTACTTCTATGTCTGTAACTCACCCTCTAGTGCCCAAATATTTCCATGCATAGTGGATCATTTATATTCTTGCATTTTCTTACCATCAGGAAATTTATTCTCGTTTCTTGTTTAATATAAAGGGTGAACCAGGTCCTCGAGGACTCCAAGGGCTAGTTGGACCACAAGGCCCTCCGGGATCTTCAGTGAGTATAAAATCAGTATATTTTTATGATTTAAGGCTGGGAGTTTCCAAGAAGCCTAAGGGAGTTAGGCACCCATCTCCCAAGAATATGGGCCACTGACTTCTATAGATAGTTTGAAAATTCCATGAGTATGTAAAATCTGTAAATTCATGTGTCTGACAGATTTGGTTTTTTTTATTTTTTTTTGTTTGCTAATTAAAGTTTAGATTTTCAAGAGTAGCTTCAATTTGTGTGGGCATAATTTTGCATCTTCAAATAATTGCACATATATTTTTTAAATTCTCATTAAATTCCAGTAATACACATAGTGTTTGCACTTGCAAATCAGGTGTTTAGACATGCTACAGAGATTTGTATCCACAATGAATTGCAGGCACAAAAAATAAACCATGGCAAGACCTGGTTGAAAATCTGGCACTAGAAGCTTGATCCAGAACCCATTGAAGTCAACGGAAATATTCCCATTGTCTTCAGTGGGCTTTGAATAAGACCCTATATCAGGACTGAGAATTCTACTATTTACTATTTTACTGTGCTGTTTTTTTTCCCTTTTCATTTCATTTTGTTTTCTCTAGGGTGTTTCAGGGAGAATGGGACTTCCAGGATGTAAGGTAGCTTGAGATTTGCTATAAAAATTAAAACTCTTAAATCTCATGTAACATTTTTTCATTCATTATTTGTGGGTGCTTTTTAAAACAAGAAAAAAGTAATGTTTTAAAAACTCTTTTGTAGGGTGTCATGGGGATGAAGATCATAGGAACCAAAGGAATACAGGTAACTCTGTAATATAATTATAACATTAGAAAGTTTTGCTTCAGATTTCTTCTTACTATGGTGAAATCTTTTGAAGAGGAAGTACTGTGAAGCAAAAATAATTTGCTCTACATACATTAATGGAGAATCTTTGCAGACTACTTTCACTAGAGTATGGGGACAAGGTGACATCAAAGGACACTGTCTTCACCTAACAGTGAAAGATAGAAGCAGGCTAACTGTTTAAGAGGAAGCTTAACTTCTTGGAGCCAGCCGTCAGTATTTACTAATAGAAAGCAGTAATGTGGTTTACATTACATTGGTATACAGTGTTTGGAAATCCTGTTCCTCTGCTAGCCAAGGAGTTAAATAATAAATAAACTAATAATAGCTGTCATAGACTTCACTCTTAGATGCTCTGATCCTGCCTTTTTAAGTGTTCATCTTCATGATGCTATCTGAAACTCCGAGAATATCTTCCAAGAAAACCTCCAAAGTTATACCATAAAAATAGGATGTTTTGTCACTCTCACTATTATATCACCCCATGATCAAATGTGTCTCAATGCAAATTACAATTGACCATAAGCAAATGTATTGTCTCGTAGACCCCAATCTTGCAATTGGATCCAGACAAGTGGATCTATACATCTGTGCAGAGTCCCAGTTTAGTCATTGGAATCCTCATGAATGCAATATTTTGTCTGTGCAGATCTGATTACAGGAGTTGGGTACACTGAAATTAATGTTAATTCTTCTTCGAGTGCTTGTTCATGTCCATTCCAACCAGGAGTGTGCACACTGTGTGCACGCCAGCCGGAAGATTTTTCCCTTAGCAGCATCCGTAGGGTCGGCCTGAGCACCCCCTGGAGTCACGCCTTCATGGCGCCCAATATAGTGCCCTGCGACGCCCCACCCCCTCAGTTCCTTCTTACCGCTGGTGACGGTGGCTGGAACATCGCTCACTCTTGTGGCAAGCGCTTTGGCACACCATGGCCACAGCAGTGGCAGCCATCATTCCAATGGCCCTTTTGGACACCTTGGGCATACCACCAGAGCCAGAGTCAGGCCCAAGGTCCTGGTCGGCATCGGTGTTTTCGGTGTCTTTTGTTCCACCGCCAGCAACGCCGGCACCGCTGACCGAAGTGCCGACCCCGCTGTTACAAACAACTCCGGCACTGACCCTTCCTTCAATGGCACCGACGACGGCTTCAGCTCCAACTCCACTGGTGTCAACAAGGTCGGCACCGCCGGATCTAGTGGCTCCCGCACCAACTGCAGCACCGAGGCTCCCACCTCCAGCGGCCCTGTCACATCCCATCGAACACTGCGTGCCGAGAGACCCAAAGAGCACTGAAGGCAGTGAGCAAGGTCTGCTGCCAGTTTTCTCCTCCTCATCCTCGCCAGATGAAGCGGTCACGGGGGCGTCAGTGGCCCCAGCTCTGGAGGATAATTGGGTTCTCCAGCAGCACCTCGCGTTTTCACCAAATGCATGGCAGTTGTCGCTGCGTTCCTGCGCAAGCGCCAGATTCAGGTTTTCCCATACCTCAACAACTGGCTGATCAAAGGCCACTCCAGATCCCAAGTGGAGGATCAGGTCGGCTTCATAAGAAGGACCTTTCTCAAACTAGGTCTCCTTCTCAACGAGGCCAAATCCACTCTGTCCCTGGTGCAGAGGATAGAGTTTACAGGCGCAGTGCTGGACTCAACCCAAGCCATGGCGTACCTCCCGGAAACTAGGTTTCAGTCTCTAGGGGACATCATACGGGGCCTTAAACAGTTCCCTACGACTACAGCAAGGAACTGCTTGAAACTGCTGGGGCACATGGCTGCATGCACCTACGTAGTACAGCATGCTAGACTCAGACTTCGCCCACTTCAGTCATGGCTGGCGTCGGTTTATCGACTGGCCTGGGACACTCTGGACAGCATTGTAACCCTGCCTCACCCTGTACTAGACTCACTCCTGTGGTGGCTTGACCCACAGGTGGTTTGTGCGGGAGTACCTTTCACCAGCCCCCAGCCATCCCTCTCGTTAGTGACAGATGCCTCGGATCTGGGCAGGAGGGCACATTTGGGAGACCTCAGAACTCAGGGCCTCTGGTCTCAGGCGGACCTCACTCAGCATATTCACGTCAGAGAGCTGACAGCGGTGGGTCGGGCGTGCCAGGTTTTCAGAACCCATATATCAGGCAGATGGGTATCAGTCCTCACAGACAACACCACGGCAATGTTTTATATCAACAAACGGGGGTGCACGCTCCTCTCTCCTGTGCCAGGAAGCCCTCTGGGACTTCTGTGTAGAGCACTCAATACACCTGCAGGCTTCATACCTCCCCGGGGTGCAGAACAAGCTGGCGGACAGCCTCAGCTGAACTTTTCATGGCCACAAGTGGTCCCTCCGGTTGGACGTAGTGAGCTCAATTTTCCATCTCTGGGGCTTTCCCCCGATAGACCTGTTTGCCACATGCAGCAACAGGAAGTGTCAACTATTTTGCTCCTTCATGAATCACAGTCTGGGTTCCATCACAGATGCCTTCCTTCTTCCATGGGGAGACTGTCTGCTCTCCGTGTTCCCACCAATACCGCTGGTCCACAAGCTGCTCCTCAAGGCCCACAGGGACAGGGACCAGGTCATATTGATAGCTCTGGCATGGCCACGCTAGCACTGGTTCACATCACTCCTGGAAATGTCCGTGGTGACCCCGTTCACCTTACCTTTGGTCCCGGACCTGATGACGCAGGATCACGGCCGCCTCCGGCATCCGAACCTAGAGTCGCTCCACCTCACAGCTTGGATGCTCCATGGCTAAATGCTATGGAACTGTCCTGTTCTGATCAAGTCAGACAAGTTCTCCTTGGCAGTAGGAAGCCCTCTACAAGGGCAACGTACCTTGCCAAGTGGAAGAGGTTCCCTCTCTGGTCGGAGCAGCACCATCAGTCACCGATGCTTGCCCCAGTCCCTTTCATACTGGACTACCTCCTCCATCTTAAACAGGCTCTGTCCTTGTCATCAATAAGGGTCCACTTGGCTGCCATCTCCGCCTTCCATCCGGGCGCAGACAGCTTCTCGGTCTTCGTGAACCCCATGGTTACCCGTTTCCTCAAAGACCTCGACCGGCTCTACCTGCAAACTCATCAGCCTGTCCTAACCTGGGACCTTAACCTAGTTCTCGCCAGACTTACAGGCCCCCCATTTGACCCAATGGTGACATGCTCCCTGCTTTATCTCTCTTACAAGGTGGCATTCCTGGTGGCGATAACCTCAGCTAGGAGAGTGTTGGAGCTCAGGGCACTTACATCTGAGCCCCCTTACGCAGTATTTCATAAGGACAAGGTTCAGCTCAGACCACATCCGGCATTTCTCCCTAAAGTTGTCTTCCACTTTCACATGAAGCAGGACATCTTCCTCCCAGTGTTTTATCCTAAGCCACATTCCTGCGACAGGGAGCGAAGGCTTCACTCATGGGATATCAGCAGAGCGCTGTCCTTCTATATAGAGAGAACTAAGCCATTCCAAAAGTCCGTCCAGTTATTCATAGCGGTGGCAGACAGGATGAAGGGCCCCCCCATCTCTTCCCAGCGCATCTCGTGGATCACACCTTGCATTCGGGAGTGTTACGGCCTGGCAAAGGTGCCAGCTCTGCCAATGACCGCTCACTCCACCAGGGCTCAGGCCTCCTCAGCTGCATTCCTGGCGCAAGTCCCCACCCAGAAGATCTGCAGACCAGCGACATGGTCCTCGATACCCACGTTTACGACGCACTGTGCGATCACACAGCAGGCCAGAGACGATGCGGCCTTTGGACGAGCTGTGCTCCAATCAGTGGATGACTCCGACCCCACCTCCTGAACTTTGGCTTGTGAGTCACCTGGTTGGAATGGACATGAACAAGCACTCGAAGAAGAAAAAACGGTTACTCACCTTCTCATAACTGTTGTTCTTTGAGATGTGTTGTTCATGTCCATTCCAATACCCACCCTCCTACCCCTCTATTGGAGTAGCCGGCAAGAAGGAACTGAGGGGGTGAGGGGTCGGCAGGGCACTATATTGGCCCAGGCCAACCCTACGGACGCTGCTAAGGGAACAGTCTTCTGGCTGGCACGCACACACCTGGTTGGAATGGACATGAACAACACATCTTGAAGAACAACAGTTACGAGAAGGTGAGTAACCGTTTTTTATGTAATCACCTAGCTGGTAAACATATTTATTGAAATTGTCTTGGCTAAATTCCTATAAATGGAACTGATGACCTCAGGTGACCTTGACTCTTCCAAATTCTAGCTAGCTAGCCTCACAGAAGACATTACTATATCTGTATTATATTAGGCTGCAATCTTGAAAAGAATTTAGCAAAGGGACGATGTACTTTACTAACAGGTTAACTTCATCAGAGTGGGAGAAGAACTCCAACTGCTTATGAGGAGAGATTCTTTAAATAACGATTAGGGAGAAAGTGATGCTATATCAGTTTTGTAGAAACTGCATTGGAAACAACATTTATATCTGTGAGCTATTTCTAGGTACTTTGATGTAAATAAACATACACATCTCTTCTGCATGTAGAAAAGATAGAAATAACATTCAAAGTCATATACTTTTTGTGTGTCTTTTTAAGTGGAGGGGTGGGTGAATAAATAACCATTGTCATGCAAATTGATTTAATTTGGCAATGTCAGATTTCATGGATTTTGAATGCAGAATATTAACTTTATTTGAATCATCTTTCTTTTTATTTTCAGGGTGATCCTGGATCAGCAGGACCCCCTGGGCTCCCAGGAACAGTTATTGTGACATTAAGTGGACCAGATAATATGAAGGTAGTAAAATAATCATTTATAAACTAACTTGTGTGTTTTACCTTGGGCCACATTTGCTGTGGGTCATATATACAGTTGCTTTGCTCTGGGTCACAAGACAGAAGTTTCTCAGTATTTATACTTTTGGTATTTTATATTTATTCTATTTTCTCCTTCAGAGCCCAGCCCCCTCCTAAGCAAACCTTCATATGTCAGATAGAACGATGCAGGGCAGCTTCGACGTACGGTCTGTTTCCATCCACATCCTTATATTCCACACACCCCCACACATTAAAAATGAAATTCCACTCAACTTTCTTGCACATGCATGTGCCAAACCAATAGAACATTGAGAGGCTGTGATTTGAATGAGACTGTCTTAGCAATTGAAAGGACAGTCTTGTGACTGAGTCACTGGTCTGGGACTCAGGAGATGTAGGTTCAGTTCCCAGTTTTGCCACAGACTTTCTGCATGACCTTGGGCAAGTCACTTGAATTCAGTTCAGAGTTAGGTGCCTAACTTGCTTAGGCACTTTTGAAAATCCCACTAGGTGCCTAAATAGCTTTGAAAAGGTGGCCTTTAATGCCTCATTTCCATATCTGGAAAATGGGGATAACAATAATTTCTTTCTCCCACCCTTTGTCTTCTCTATTTAGATAGCAAGCTCTTATTATATGTTCATACAGCTGTCATAGATGAGGCAATGATACCAATATGCACATGTGCAGAGTGCCAGTGGGATGTTAGTGATCATTTGTAAAAAACCTGTTGTGGAAACAAAAACCAGTGGGTATGTGCAAAGTAGAACACTTTCAACTTGGCCAAACCAAATGGATTTTCAGTAGACTGCGAAAGGCTGTGTTGACCTATAGCCCATGTCCCTGACAAATTTCAAGTTTTTATCCCAAATCACTGAGGCCCAGATCCTGCAAGGTATTTATTTAGGCACTGATATCCCATTGAAATCAATGGGAGTTAGGCTCAGATCTTCAAAGATATCTAGGTGCCTGAGGGTATGTCTACACTACGAGAGTAGTTCGATTTTACTTAAAGCGAATTTGTGGAACCGATATTACAAAGTCGAACATGTGTATCCACACTAAGGACAGTAATTCGACTTTGTGAGTCCACACTAACGGGGCAAGCGTCGACATTGGAAGCGGTGCACTGTGGGCAGCTATCCCACAGTTCCCGCAGTCCCCGCTGCCCATTGGAATTCTGGGTCGAGCCCCCAATGCCTGCTGGGGCAAAAAATGTGTCGAGGGTGGTTTTGGGTAACTGTCGTCATTCAACCCTCACTCCCGCCCTCCCTCTGTGAAAGTGCCGGCGGGCAATCAGTTCGCGCACTTTTCTGGTCAGTGACAGCGCGGACGCCACAGCACTGTGAGCATGGAGCCCGCTGCGATCATCGCTGCAGTTATGGCCGTTGTCAACACCTCGCACCTTATCATCCACCTTTTTCAGAGGCAGATGCTGAGAAATCGGGCGAGGAGGCTACGGCAGCGCGGTGAGGACATTAAGTCTGAGAGGAGCACAGACCTCTCACAAAGCACGGGACCCCGCGCCGTGAACATCATGGTGGCAATGGGTCATGTTGATGCTGTGGAATGGCGATTCTGGGCCCGGGAAACAAGCACGGACTGGTGGGACCGCATAGTGCTGCAGGTCTGGGATGAATCACAGTGGCTGCGAAACTTTCGAATGTGTAAGGGAACTTTCCTGGAACTTTGTGAGTTGCTGTCCCCTGCCCTGAAGCGCAAGGACACCCGGATGCGAGCAGCCCTGACTGTACAAAAGCAAGTGGCCATAGCCCTCTGGAAGCTTGCAACGCCAGACAGCTACCGGTCAGTCGCGAACCAATTTGGAGTGGGCAAATCTACCGTGGGGGTTGCTGCGATGCAAGTAGCCAACGCAATCGTTGAGCTACTGCTCTCAAAGGTAGCGACCCTGGGAAACGTGCAGGTGATCATAGATGGCTTCGCCGCGATGGGATTCCCAAACTGCGGTGGGGCTATAGATGGAACTCACATCCCTATCCTGGGACTGGACCACCAGGCCAGCCAGTACATTAACCGAAAGGGCTACTTTTCAATGCAAGCTGCAAGCACTGGTGGACCATAGGGGACGTTTTACCAACATCAACGTCGGATGGCCGGGCAAGGTTCATGATGCTCGTGTTTTCAGGAACTCTGGTCTGTTTAGACGGCTGCAGGAAGGTATTTACTTCCCGGACCACAAAATAACTGTTGGGGATGTGGAGATGCCTATAGTGATCCTCGGGGACCCAGCCTACCCGCTAATGCCCTGGCTCATGAAGCCCTATACAGGCGCCCTGGACAGTGAAAAAGAACTCTTCAACTACCGGCTGAGCAAGTGCAGAATGGTGGTGGAGTGTGCTTTTGGACGTCTGAAGGGGAGATGGAGAAGCTTACTGACTCGCTGTGATCTCAGCGAAACCAATATCCCCATTGTTATTGCAGCTTGCTGTGTGCTCCACAATCTCTGTGAGAGCAAGGGGGAGACGTTTATGGCGGGGTGGGAGGTTGAGGCAAATAGCCTGGCTGCTGATTACGCCCAGCCAGACAGCCAGGCGATTAGAAGAGCCCAACGGGACACGCTGTGCATCTGGGAAGCTTTGAAAGCTAGTTTCCAGAGTGAGCAGGGTAACCTGTGACTATTAAGTTTGTTTAAACAGAAGCTGAACCTGCCCCTGTTTCTTTACACAGTTAATGTTGACTATCCTCTCCAGTTACCAACCCCCTTCCCTCCCTTCCAAAACACCTTTAAAATTAAAATAAATGAAACTTTGTTCATTAACACCGTTTTCTTTATTAAGGATTTCATGGTAAAGTGTTGAAACTGGGACGCAGACTGTGGTGGGGAGCGGGTGTAGTGATGGAAAGGACGCTTCTAAACTCGAGGAATGACAGGCTCCTGCTCCTAGAGCGGTCCGCAGTGGTGGACTGGTTGTTTCAACGGAGCCTGCCACCCCTCCTTTTTGGGACTCTGTGTGTGGGGGCTATGTGACTTTGTGGCGGGGGAGGGCGGTTACAGATCCCCTGCTGCATGGCTCTGTCATCCAGGCTAAGGACCGCTGCATAAGATCTGTTTTTCGCCCTCCCTCGCCACAAACTCACATAGCCCTCCCAGACTGACCAGGGTGCCTAGTGACTGCAATGTGTGTGTGACCTTCTGCTGAACCTGCCCCCGTGTCTGTACCCTGGTAAAGGTGACTGTCCTCTCCAATTACCAACCCCCTTCCCCCCCTTCAAACACACTCTCCTCTAAAAGAACATGACGGAAACAGTAATTAACAGAAACGTATTTTTTATTAACTACACAGTTAGGGGATGAAACTGGGACAGGGGCTTGGGTGAGATGCTTTTGGAGTGAAGGAAGGGACTTATCAAATCTTTGGGAAAGAGAGCCTTCTGCAATTTGAGCAGTCTGCAGGGGTGGAGTGACTGTTTTCACGGCCCCTGCCGCCCCTCCTTCTTGGGACTTTGGGTGAGGGGGGGATGGGACTTTGTGGCGGGGGAGGGCGGTTAGAGATAGAATGCAGCGGGGCTCTGTCCTCCTGCCTCCGGTCCTGCAGAACATCTACAAGGCACCGGAGCATGTCCGTTTGCTCCCTCATTAGTCCAAGCAGCGTTTGAGTCGCCTGCTGGTCTTCCTGCCGCCACCTGTCCTCCCGTTCGCTATGTGATCGCTGGTATTGTGACATGTTCTCCCTCCACTGGATCTGCTGTGCCGCCTCGGCTCAGGAGCAGCCCATAAGTTCTGAGAACATCTCGTCCCGTGTCCTTTTCTTTCGTCGCCTGATCTGCGCTAGCCTCTGGGAGGGGGATGCCGGGGTAGCTCGGGAGACACTCGCAGCTGTGGGATGGGAAAAAGGGAGTGAATTCCTCACAAAGATACAGTTTTGCGAACAATGAATATAGTCTTTCTCTGTGAACAAGACCATGCACAGTACCTATCACATGCGCACTCAGTACAAGGTCGAATTTTCGGCCTTCCCATTGAGTGCCTGGGGTCTTGCTGTACAGATCACACAAGCGGGGCTGGACAACGGAATTCGGCTAGCAGGCGGACATGGTAAGCCGTAGACTTTTGGCTGCTTAAAGCTTAATTTATAGCAGTGCCCTCCTTACATGTTCCAAGCAATGCTCCTAGCGTTGGCCAGTTCCTGCTGCCGGCAATCCGGCCAGCATGAACTCTGCCCATGTCCCACCCCCCTCGCGGCTGTCCCTGGGAAAGATCCCTGCATGCTGCCCCTGTCTCACCTCCACCGCGTGGCTGTAAACCGCCGGTTACAGTTCTGTAAAGGAACAGGCAATCAGTCCCAATACTAACATTCCCCTAATTCAAAGCAGGTCACCATGAGTGATATCACTCTAATGAGGATTTCGGAGACAGAGAAAGACCGCATGCTGCGTGAATGCCAGCAAACACCAGGGCCGTATGCCGCCATGCTTTGCGAGGCAATGATCCCGGAGTACTTGCTGCTAGCCTGGCACGGAAAAGTTTCCTACCATGGAGGACGCAATAAGGCCGCTCTCCGCAGGAACCTGATGCAAAGGCTTTCACAATACCTCCAGGAGAGCTTCCTGGAGATGTCCCAGGAGGATTTCTGCTCTATCCCCGGACATATTGACAGAATTTTCCAGTAGCTGCACTGGCAAGGACTAAAAACTAAAGCGCCTAGGGCAAAGTAATCATGAAAAACCAGACATGTTGACAAACTTTTCCAGTAGCTGCTCTGGCAAGGACTAAAAACTAAAGCGCCTAGGGCAAACTAATCATGAAAAACCCATTGTTAAGATACCATTCCTATTCTGTTCAAAATAAATGTTTAAAACTCTTACCTACTGATCGTTCCACTGATTCACGGTCCGGGTTACCGCCTTGGGAGGGTTGGTAGGGGATCTCCGTGAGGGTGATGAAGAGATCCTGGCTGTCGGGGAAATCAGCGTTGAAAGCACTGTCGACTGCCTCGTCCTCCTCATCTCCTTCCTCATCTTCCCCGTCCACGAACATCTCCGACGAAGTGGCCGTCAACAATACCCCATCGTCAGAGTCCACGGACAGTGGTGGGGTAGTGGTGGCGGCCGCACCTAGAATGGAATGCAGTGCCTCGTAGAAACGGCATGTCTGGGGCTGGGATCCGGAGCGTCCATTTGACTCTTTGGTCTTCTGGTACCCTTCTCTCAGCTCCTTGATTTTCACGCAGCACTGCGTTGCATCCCGTCTGTATCCTCTCTCCGTCATGGCTTTTGAGATCTTCTCGTAGATCTTCGCATTCCGTTTTTTCGATCGCCGCTCCGAAAGCACAGACTCATCGCCCCACATAGCGATCAGATCCAAGACTTCCCGATCAGTCCATGCTGGGGCCCTCTTTCTATTCTGCGATTGCATGGTCACCTCTGCTGGAGAGCTCTGCATCGTTGCCGGTGCTGCTGAGCTCGCCACGATGTCCAAACAGGAAATGAGATTCAAACTGGTCAGACAGGAAAAGGAATTCAAATTTTCCCGGGGCTTTTCCTGTGTGGCTGGTGGCTGGTCAGAGCATCCGAGCTCGGACTGCTGTCCAGAGCATCAACAGAGTGGTGCACTGTGGGATAGCTCCCGGAGCTATTAGCGTCGAATTCCATCCACACCTACCCTAATTCGACATGGCCATGTTGAATTTAGCGCTACTCCCCTCTTCGGGGAGGAGTACAGAAATCGATTTAAAGAGACCTCTATGTCGAAATAAATAGCTTCGTTGTGTGGACGGGTGCAGGGTTAATTCGACATAACCTCCTAGTGTAGACCAGGCCTGAGTCACTAGAGCTGTTCCAAAAAGGCTCACAAAAATATTTTTATACCGGTAAAAGTATATTTTCCCCCTTTTCACTTGAAAACGATTAAACTGTTTTTGTTCAAACTTTCCAAAAAATTTTTAATCAGGTTAAGAACAAATCTGGAAAATTTCAGTCCAAGAGGCAGATATCTGAGAAAATGATTGGTCTCTTGATTTGCAAGTGGCAAATCACCTCAGTCACGGATAGTGATAAAAAAATTGCCAACTTTTCTACCTGCTTAATCAGGCTACTAACGTTATCTCTGCCTTATCCAGATCAAGCTTTTAATTTATTTAATTATTCAAACTTGTTTGTAATTTGGGTTTCCCTATGTATAAAACACCTAGAGGTTTTTTGGGGGGAGGGGGCACTGAAAAATCTGAAAGACTAAATAAATATTTTATTTTGTTGTGACAGGGCTTGAAAGGAGATAAAGGAGAGAAAGGATCAAGGGGTCTCCCAGGACCAGTTGGGTCATTGGTAAGTGATCAAAGTAAATCTCTCAAAATCCAGGACCTTCATACAGCATCACATTCACATGGAAAACGTTGCTATTTGGAGTCCATATTTATACTACTTGGTCTAGCCATCAATTAAGATCTATTAACAGCGGCTGTAATCAGACTTCATTGTACAAGGTAATAAAATAATACAAAATGGATTAAGATGCAAAAATGTGAATCTGAAAATATGTGTGGATTTGTTACAGGGTTTTCCTGGAGATTTTCAAAGTGAAAAAGGTGACCCAGGAGAGCCTGGCCCGCAGGTACGTGTGAAAAATTAAACCCTTTAAAGTGCCATTCTTCTCTGAAAACATTTCTGTGTTATTGTGGAGTTCCAGCTTTGTCTTTCAATGACTTCCAGAGCAAATTTATTAGGCTTCCAGGTGAAAAGAGATTTTTGTCCAGTGAACTCAACCTGGAATCTGCAAGTCAAGTGAGTGTTCTTTCTGGCACATGCTTCCTGAGCTGTACGTAAAGCTCAGTTGAGGGCGCACTTCTGCATATCATAGGGCAAAGGTTCTGTGATTGGAACTTGGTCAACAGTTCTGTTATGATGCATGAGCCAGAAAGGAATCCTGCTCGCTCTCCAATAAATGTAGTGGCTGTTTAGTGCTAGCAGGAGTAAAGATATTTTAAGTAGACATATTTTTGTCAATTAAGGCAGAAGACATGAGTCTGAATACACTCCACTCCAACAGGTCTGTGGAGAAAGGAGCCATCTTTCGATAGTTTTCTTACCATATCAGTACTTCATGCAGTTTCAAAGGACTGATTCCAGTGTTTGAAATATTGCATGTAAATAATAAGACTGATAGCAATGAAGGTATAAGAGGTTAATTTTATCTCTGCACATTTTGAAAAGAGTTTAATAGGTGTAAATGCTAGTTTTTATAATCTTTGTAGGAAGCATATAGATTTGGAAAGAAACAGGAAATGTATTCAAAGAATCAGTTTTTAGCTTTTGAGCCTCCTAATTTTGTACCACTTACTTATGGTGTGATCCAGCAGCCCTTCCTCACATCAAAGTCTCATGGGCTTCAATAGCTTTATTCATATGAGTAATAACTGCAAGACTGGGCCTGTAATGTGCTTATATTGAATTTATGATGATTATGGGGTTCTCTGAGATCCTCTGATGAAAGATGCTATTTACAGTAATTTGCAATATTATTTTTATAAAAAGGTAAATTATGAAAAATCTCTTTTCTGTTTGACTTCTTAGTGCAAAATAGTAAATATTTATGTAACACAACATGTCAGAGCTTCTCATGATTCCTCCTCAGCCTCTACTGCTTCTTCTCTTCACTGTCTCTTCTTCACAAGTGCATTTGTGATGGCCACCCTCTTGGCCAACACAGTGAGGCTTGAACTATCTCTTGTTAAGTCCTGTCATTCTTTCTCCTCTTCTTTCTAGTACAAGTGCTCATGCCTTGGCCATCTTTTGCCATGTAATCTTTTCCCCTCTTCAGTATATCCAAAAGCTGCTGCTAAACTGAACTTCCTCCCCCACTGCTCTGACTGACTCACTTTCCACCCACCTCGTATTCTTTCACTGACTCCTATCTTTCTTGCATCAAATTCGAGTTCCTCATGCTTATCTTCAAAGTGCTAAATAATCTCTCGTTTGCCTACATCTCTCCTCCTGTTTCCTCCTATTATCCTTCTGCACACACACTCTCCTTCCTAGGCCTCTCTTTTTAATTATTGTTAATATTTTTGATATTTATACTGCAGTAGAAACTAGAGACCAACCAAGCCAGGGCTTTGTTGTGCCAAACTCTGTACATACACACAGAAAATTACAGTCTCTGCCCCAAATAATTTAGTCGTCTTCTTCTTCCACTCTTACTTTTACACTTTATTTCCTGCTTGCACTACGTTCAGAACAGTCTCCCAATTCTTTTTCACCAAATGGCTGCTCTCACTCTTCTCCTTTTGAAATCATTCCTTAAACCCATTTCCTGCACGAGTCTTTTCTACCTTATTTCCTCAGCTGTCTCTTTTTATCAGAGCTGTTGTCTTGTTTACTGTCTTGTCTTTTGTTTGCCTCACTTCAAAGAGCATCCTGCAGGTCAGTGGGACTCTGCTGGTGAAAGAGGTTGCATTTACCACCCCTTTGTAGGACTATTAGCTCTTTAGTCAGAGGAATGTCTTACTCTGTGTTTTGTAAAGCTCTGTGTGCATTGGCAGAGCTATAAGTGATTAGCAACAATAATGTACATTTTAAAATAACTTAAATCTCTGTCCTAGAGCTGTAAGGATAGAAAGCACAGACATGAGTGGAGAATTTGGCCATTTGTTCTCCAGAATGCAGGATCACTTGTTACCTTTTTGTGATTGTGCACGTGGGTTTTTTGTTTTTGTTTTTTGGTAGGGTAAACCTGGAAAAGATGGTACCCCCGGTCCACATGGCTTTCTGGTAATGAAGACACCTTTTAATTGTTCTGTTAGATTAATAAGAGCTGTGTAAGTGTGACAGGACTGTATCTCTGTGTATATACAGCTCTTCTCTACTTCGATTTGCATTGAAATATACATCTGAATACATTTTGAAACTGTATTCCTATACACCAAGCTTTGGGCCAGAGATCCAGGCACAGAGGGGATGCTTTGCGTGCAGTCTTCCCTGCTTTCATGCAGACAGGGGGACCGGCTGCCTCTGTAGCATTCTTTCCCCTCCAGACCTTACACAGGCCTGGGCAGTCTCTAGGGAGGAGTGGCTGGGCTGGAGAGATTCACATTGTCCCCCATCTAGCTCTGCTAAAATGAGTCAGAAAAGAAAATATAGCTGATAATGTGTTATTTTATCCACTTCAAACCCTTGGGAGTCGTGGGGGCAACCGCAATCAGAGATGTCCAAATAGCAAAGCTTCAAATGGGCTACAGTTCACTGAGGGGAGGCCCTGAGGTGGCCATAGTCAGTATGGGATAGAGGGCCTCCATGCAGATGTACTTGTCCTTCTGAAGATGTCCCTTGATCTGCCAGATTTGAAGGTTGGGCTTATAGGCATGTAAACCCAATAGGATGATGTGGGGAGATCTCCGTACAGGAATTCTCACAGGGACTTCCTCCCCCTGAGACACTCTCACTCTTTTTTCCATCCGTAGGAATGATCTAAGTTTTTAATGTTGGATTTTATGTATGAAATAGGTAGAGGACTAACCCCTAATAATAATTCTGTGCTCTCATCTACAGGGAGAGAAGGGTGAACGCGGCTACCCAGGATCACCTGGCATAGCAGGCACTAAGGTAATTATGTAATATCCTTGTTATTTTGGGGTTGGGTTTTCTGGTTTGTTTATTGGATTTTGACTCATATATCACTAGACATACAGTGTTCCTCATAAATGAAATCATTTAATAAACACCATAAACAGCAATCCACTCAGCTCTACTTAATATGAAGTTCAGCTAAGAGATCTGTCTGATTAACATAGGCTGTGAAGGCTTCTGAGTATGTTGTTTTTAATGTATCTAACTGATGGCCTATTTCTGTTTTCTCATGCAGGGGAGGAAAGGAGACATTGGCCCACCAGGATTTCCTGGTCCCGTAAGTGCAAATTGTGCTTAGATTAATATGGTAATGTCATTTTTTTTTTAATGTTCACATAAACGTAATGCCATTTTGACTGAAGGATGCCATAGTGAAATCCCCATGGTGCCATGAGTAAAGCACTGCTGTGTCAAAATATGGAGTCAGTGGGGCTCTCCCCCCGTGTGCAGAGCTCATTGCAAGAATGGGCCCCAAGAAGCACGCACCTCATTCATTTCAACTGGAGAGATAATTGTCATGAAACAGTCATGAAAGTTCACAATAGTTAAATTTCCGAAGTGAAACCATAATCCGGTCTAGAACAATTGCTGCTAGTTTTTAAATACCAAAAGACTTTGTAAACTAGAAGCAAAATCATCTCATTGATGCATGCATGCGGTTTCTGACTTTCCTGGAAGCCCATGTACATGTCTGAGGGCAGCCTTTGATCCCAGTTGCTTACACTCAGTCCTTTTTTAAAACATTAACCTGTTTGTAGCATCTGGCTTAGCAAGAGCTTTGTACAAAATAAATAAATTAGTAAATGAAAAATTTTTGTGAGCTTCAAGCTCAGTCTTTGACATTTCTTTAATTTCAGGGCTAACATTCATGTTATGTTGTTTGATTTATATGTGCCTCACTATACTGCGTGTGGTTAGGCAATGGTGATCACTATTATCTGGCCACTGTCAAATGAATGAAATACATACAGTGGTTTGAAAGGTGGCTGATGGTCAACTTGGTTTATTCACCAGGAAAATAATCCACAAAGGAGCAATAACTTCTTGTTCTCTCTAAGTTCCAGTTTTGCTCATGCACATGTTTCATGCAAACTTCGTAGCACTGTAGTATTATCATTTATGGAAACATCCATCCTTTATGTACATATAATACACTGGCTTAATGTTTGTGAATGTCTCCAGCTTGCCCCAGTGACCATACTCACAGGTGAGAGATTTCTCCTTCAGTGCAAGTAGTGCTGAAAGTCCCAGGACTGTCTGCATGTATGTGGCCATAACTCATTACACATATATATAGAACCTAACTTCAAATACGGTGGCTTGTGAACAATTATTCTGGAATTAGCAATGAGCAAATATAAAGTCTTGTGATATCATAAGGTCAAAAGAATGGCCTACATCCCAATATTTCTCCCAACAGAACAGCCAGTCTAGGAATAATCAGTATTGGTTTGCTGCTGGTTAGCGTCACACAGCCTCTCCAGACCCTGTGTCTTGCAAGTAAACTGAAGGATCCTGACAAATACAGGAACCTTCCTCGGCCTACATGACCTGGGGTTTGAGAGTTAATGGAAGAAATCAGGTGTATCTGAAAGCAAATTACTCATGTCAAGCACTCGTTATGGGAGACTGCCTTTCTCATCATTGTTACTATTCTTTCTCTCTCTCTCTCTCTTGCTGTCTCTTTTAAGACAAAGTATTATGATGAGGTGGCTGGTGAAAAAGGAGATGAAGGATATCCAGGACCCCCAGGACTTAAAGGTCAACCTGGCATACCTGGTGAGAGAGCTCTGAAAACTATAAACATAATAGAAAAAGAAATCTATGCCAAGGGCTTGATCATGCACAGCACAGGGAGGAAGAGTTGTCACATGGAACCTGAGCCTGCACTCATGAGAGTGCCACTGTGCAGCCATCAAATTCCTGCCATCAAGTAGTAGAAGTGAGACCGAAGAGGCTCATAGCTAAGTGCCTGACTTGTATACTGAGCATCACAGTGAAGGCCATATTCAGACTATGGGAGAAGGGACACAAGGACCCTGACACTTACTTCTGTTCTTTTCACCCTTACTTGTGTGCCCCTGCTCACACTCTCACTGGAACACATCATCATCAACACATCTTTGCCATACACCAGGCAAGGAATTGAAAGATGAAGGCCATAATCAGTCCCTAGGAAAGAGCATTTATTTCACACTAATTTTCATTATCTTTTTCCCCTTTCATCCTGATTTTAATGCATGCCATTTGGAAATGGTAAAGGCATCAACATGGGGGAGGGGAGGGATAGCTCAGTGGTTTGAGCATTGGCCTGCTAAACCCAGGGTTGTGAGTTCAATCCTTGAAGGGGCCACTTAGGGATCTGGGGCAAAATCAGTACTTGGTCCTGCTGGTGAAGGCAGGGGGCTGGACTCGATGACCTTTCAAGGTCCCTTCCAGTTCTAGGAGATGGGATATCTCCATTAATTTAATTTAACATGGGTTTTAACTGTTTGTTTTTTTAAATTTGGTAATGCTATAAAATGAAAACATACTGCCAAAAATCAAAAACAAACCCTGATCAGTTTGTCATTCAGGACACATCACAGTGTAGTGAAGGGTTTGTGTGTTAAACTCTGACACAGTAGATGCAATTTGTTTGCCTCGTATACATCCTCACCAACCCTGACTTTATTCTTTAGAGCCCCAATTCTGTAAACCTTTATATACACAAGTGGTCTCATAGAGTTCAATGGGGGCTACTCACCTGTATAAAGTTACTCATGTTACTGAAGTCAGTGGGAATTGAGGGCACCCAATACCTTGCAGGGGTGCTCAACACTCGGGCTATTGTAATGGTTTGATCCCATGACTGTTGTGCACATAAAGCTCTCATTGGATGTCAGTGGCAGTTCTCTGTGTAACAATTGCAGGATTGGATAAATGACAAATCCCTATTAGGCAAAATCAGATTAAAACTCACAGTTCAAAATATGTGTAACATTTTGGTTTTTAAGTCAAAATTGCTGTTCAGCCTTATTATACAATCCAGCATGTAGTTCAAAACACAACACAGGTATTTGAATAGTGAAAATTCAATATATACAGTGGTTTAATTCAGATTTTTAATATATTGCTTTTGCAGGGCCAAGAGGTCCCCTAGGTGTGACAGGAAGACCAGGTATGTGTCATGAACCAACAGCACACTAAAAAGCCTAATGCAGTATTCATTTTGCTTATTTTACTTACTTAGTATTACTTACTTAGTATTATGAAGGCAGTGATCATTTCTCATGTTTGAAAATGGACATCTCTAGGGGTATGTCTACACTGGTGTGCATACCTGAGTACAGTAACTCCTTGCAATGATGATTGTGAAGCTTGGTTGAGGTGGTGAAGTCAGAGCGTGGAAGAGGGTGGGATATTTCTAAATATCTGCTAAATAATGAACTAGCATTCGGCTGAGCCCTCAAGGGTTAACACGTTGTTGTTAATGTAGCCTCACACTCTACAAGGTAGCACAAATGGAGGGAGGGGAGACAGCATGGCAGACAGAGACAGAGACACACATACCGTGTGTGTGTGTGTGTGTGTATGTGTGAGAGCGAGAGATGCGCATTGCCCCTTTAAGTACGCTGACCCCACTCTAGGTACATTGCCTTTTTAAGTAGATCAGCAAGTTGAGACAGCAGCTGCTGCCAGGAAGCTCCCTGTTGTGTCCTCCACTGCTCTATAGAGATGGGGTAAGTGGGGGGCGGGAGCAGGAGCAGGGGGGAGGGGGACACCCTTACATTAACCCCCCTCATCCCCCCTGTGAACAGCAAGCAGAAAGCTCCCAGGAGCAGCTCCAAGGTAGGGTTACCATATTTCAATACTGCAAAAAGAGGACACTCCACGGGGCCCTGGCCCCACCCCAACTCCGCCCCTGGCCTCGCCCCAACTCCACAACTTCCCCGGCCCCACCCCAACTCCGCCCCTTCCCCAAAGTCCCCGCCCTAACTCCGCCCCCTCCCCTGAGCATCCCGCATTCCCCCTCCTCCCTCCCACCCCCCGGCTGCTGCTGCACTGGGGAAGTTCCTTCGGCCCCCGCTGTGGTGGAGAGCGGCGGGAGCTGGGAAAGTTGGAGCCCGGGGAGGAGGCGGTCCCCTTACCATGCCTCCCTATTTTCCCGGACATATCCGGCTTTTTGGAAATTCCTCCCGGACGAGGATTTGAGGACCAAAAAGCCGGACATGTCCGGGAAAATCCGGACATATGGTAACCCTACCCCAGAGCCACCTCCCGCCCACCCGCCGGACCCCCCCAGGCCTTACCCCAGAGCCACCTCCCGCCCACCTACCCGCCGGAACCCCCAGGCCTCACCTCAGAGCCGCTTCCTCCAGCCCGCCAGACCCCCCACCCAGGCCTCACCCCAGAGCTGCCTCCCGCCCACCGGACCCCCCAGGCCTCACCCCAGAGCCACCCGCTCTCCATAGGGCCCATCCTCAGCCTTCTCCTGTCTCAGTGCCCCCTCTCCTGAGAGCCTGCCCTCCGCAGCCCCCCCACTCTCCACAGCCCCCACCTCAGAGCTCCCCACCCCCTCCCATAGCCCCCACCTTCCATAGCGCCCCCCCACCTTCCACAGCACCCCCACCTCAGTCCTCCCCTTCACCTCCCTCCATAACCCCTACCCTTCATTTCCCCACCTCCTCCAATAGCCCACCCCCTCCACAGCCCCTCCACTCTCCACAGCCCCTGCCTCAGAGCCCCCCCACCCCCTCCCATAGCCCCTTACCCTCAGAATCCCCCCCACCTCAGAGTCCTCCACCCTTCACCTCCCTCAGGGGAGCCTCCACCCCGCTCCCAGCCGGACCCGGCGAGGCTGCAGCAGCTCAGACTGCGGGAGGCACTGCAGCGCGAGCCCTTCCCGGGTGGGGGAGCTCAGGCTCCTGGGAGCCGCCGCCGCCGCGCACTGAGAAACTTTCCCCTGCGCCGGGACCTGCTCCCGGGCAGCGGCTCCGCTGGGGGGAGGCAACCCCAGCTGCACGGACCGCTGGCGGGGGGGGGCTCCTTGCATGGCCAGGACGGGGGGGTGGGGAGACTGAGGCTCTGCCAGAGCCGCAGGGGATGCTCAGAGGAGGGAGAAGCGGCTGCGGTCCCCCGCACCAGCAGCTGGCTGCAGAGACGCCACCGCTCCTAGCCGTGGGGCGCAGGGTTGCAGCAGCATGGGGGGGGTTGCAATCCTCAGGCTGAGTGAGCTGACACCCCAAGAGGAGAGGGGGCAGTGGGTAGGGTTATCATACGTCCGTATTTTCCGGACTTTTTTATATATTTAAAAAATCCTCCCGGACGGCAATTAACAACTAAAAAGCTGGACATGTCCGGGGAAATACGGATGTATGGTAACCCTACTCCAAGGCAGAGGGCAGGAGCAGCACATGGCAGTGGGGGGAGGGACAGCTGAACTGCCGGCAATTGGTAACCTGCTGGGCGGTTGCCGCACAGGGAACTTAGGGGAGTGGGGAGCTGATAGGGGGGCTACCGGTCAACCCTGGTTCCAAGCCCCCACCAGCTAGCTGCAATAAGCTGCTCTTTCTGCAAGCAGTGGACAAAGCAGGTGTCTGCCAAACAACGTTATAAGGGAGCATTGCACAACTTTAAATGAGCATGTTCCCTAATTGATCAGCAACATAACAACGAAGCAACGTTAACCGGGATGACTTTAAGTGAGGAGTTATTGTACTAGATCATGTGCATGCAGGTGTAATACAGGCAAACCCACCCTGAGAGTGCACCTTTGTTGTGCTGGTCACACGTAGAAAACCACATCCATGCTGCTGCTTTAGTTTAGTGCTGCCATTTCGGGGGTCGTATTCCAGTATTCTTTGCATCAGATGGAGCCACTCCAGAAACTGATCTGTGGTGTGTTCTTGGTACCATGTTCCTTTCCTTCCTAAACCCCTGTGCAGAAGACGTTTTTCCCCACCTTCTTACATTTACCAGTGGCGCTTCCAGGTCATGTCACCTCTCACTTCTGTCTGGTCAAAACAGGGTCAAAGTCATGGATCCATTGGAGGAGCTGCTCCTGCTCCTTCTGTGGGTGAAACGTTTATGCAGTGGAATAGGTGCTCAGCGAGATGCTGGATTGCATTTCAGGAGCATTTTCTGAGATGTCAAAAACAGCAGGACTTGGGGGGATGAGAACAATTAATTCATGGCAGACTGGACAGACATGAACAATGCTGCTATTGCCATGAAATCCCCTTGGTTTACCAACGCTTCTAGTGCAGGAGAAGTAGCTCAGTGTGGTGTGATCACATCATCTTGCAGACTTGGGGAAACCAGCAGTGGCTCCAAAACTTCCGCATGAGGAAATAGACCTTCATGGGGCCATGTGAGGAACTAGCACCAATCCTCCAGTGCCTGACCACTTGATGAGGAAAGTTTTAGCACGGTGGTTCTCAAACTGTGGGTCAGGATCCCAAAGTGGGTCGTGACCCCATTTTAATTGGGTCACCAGGACTGGCATTAGACTTGCTGGGGCCTGGGCTCAAAGCCCGAGCCCCACCACCTGGGGCCGAAAAGTCCTGGGTTGGGGGGCTCAGGTTACCGACCACTCGCCTGGGGCTTAAGCCCTTGGGCTTCTGCTTTGGCTCCCCGCCCTGAGCGGTGGGGCTTGGGCTTTGGTGTTGGCCCCCCACTTGCGGTGTTGGGGCTCGGGCAGGCTCAGGCTTCAGTCCCCCCTCCTGGGGTCACGTAGTAATTTTTATTGTCAGAAGGGGGTCGCGATGCAATGAAGTTTGAGAACCCCAGCTCAGTGGTATGGACAGCTAGAGGTACATAGTAAACTGCTTTGGTGTTGGCAAGTCATCTGTTGGTGTTGTGAGAATGGAGGTTTGTGAAGTAATTAATGGTGGTGGAGATAAGAAATGTTCCTGAAATAATAGCTGGCTTTCAGAGGATGGGGGACCCAAACTACGCTGGGGCACCCAAATTCCACTAGGTCCATCAATGGCACTCAGATGCCCATAGTTTGCCCGACAAAAGGGGCCAGTGAGTATGTGAACCACAAAGAATACTATTCCATCATTCTTCAAGGCTTGGTTGACCACAGAGACAGGTTCTTAAGCACTATCACTGGAAGTATGGGAAAGGTTCACGATGCCAGGGGGCTGAGGAGATTTGGCTGGTACTTGAAGGGGGAAGCAGATACTTTATTCCCAATAACAATATTGTTATGAAAGGTGTATCTGTGCCAATAGTTATTATGGGGAACTCCACATACCCACTCGTGCCATGGCTCATGAATAAGGCTGCAAGTCTGTCATGGAGGTCACAGAAGTCACGGCTTCCGTGACTTTCCGGGACCTACATGACTTCTGCAGCGGCAGTGCGGCTGATCCCAGGGCTGCCTCAGGGAGCTTGCCCTGGGGGCCGCCGAAGCAGCAGTGGTCCCAGGCATGGCCCTGGGCCACCCCCCCAGAGCAGCAGCGGGACCCCAAGCGGCTCCCCTCCCCCAGCAGGAGCAGCACCCTGGAGCCTGCCAGAGCAGCAGCAGCACCTTGGATCCCCCCAGAGCACCTAAGATTTAGTCCCGGGTATTTTTAGTAAAAGTCATGGACAGGTCACAGGCCGTGAATTTTTGTTTATTGGTCGCGACCTCTCCATGACTTTTACTAAAAATACCCGTGATTAAAAGGTAGCCTTACTCATGAAACTGTATAGTGATGTCAGGGCCCTGGGAAAAGGGAATTCAATTTTGAGCTCAGCGGCTGCAGGATGGTAGTGGAATCTGCCATTGGTAGACTCAAGGCTAGATGGCGCTGCCTTCAAACATGTCTGGATGCCAGTTTGCTCAATGCCATTTATATAATCGTGGCCTGCAGTACACTGCACAAGGCAAGGCAAAAGGCAAGTATTTCCACCTGGAGTAGGCTCAGGACATTGATTGTATGCAAGCCCAGTACAGGCAACCAGCTCCAGAGTGGTACTGGGTCCAGACTGGCAAGGAAAATAAGAGTTGATAGATCCTGGCAGTGCTGGGAGAAAGAGGATGATGTCTGACTTGTGCTGCTACTGGGGGGCACTTTGATAGCCTTTCATAAATCTGCTTTAACCTTAAATGAAGGTACATGCCAAAATTGGTATAGGCCACAAGTGGCTTTTTATTATTTTAGTTTTATCTGATTTGCACTTGCTGGGATTGTCACTGTTTGTGCTTGTCACAGTTCACGCTGGTATGTAATCCATTTTAACAGTTTTCCTGGAATGTGTTTACTGGTTGAGATGGGGTTGGGATGGGGACAGTTGAAGTAATTGCATGATTGTTCAGATTGTCACCATGTAAGTGCTTGCCCCAGTTCACACACTGTTGATCCTCTCTAGACAGATTTCCTGAAATGTGTTTGTAATATGGGGTGGAGTTGGTGCTGGGGACAGTTGCGGTCATTGATGATTGTTTGTTTGGATTTTGCTTGTGACTTGCCCGAAGTGTAATAAAGAAATTACAAAATTTCTCATTTTTTCCCTTTGATAATATAGTAAATATTTGTAAAATTTCACCCTTGTTCAAGTCCCAGACCTTCCTGTACTGCTGTTTTAAGTGCTTCATTCTTTTTCGGCACTAAGCAGCAGAATGGTCAATGCCATACTCCACCAGCTTTCTAGAAACATGAGTGTTTATGGGGCTGTCCTTGCTGCACCAGATAAAACTGTGCTGCCAGTTGGACTCCTGCCAGATATTTATTAAAATTCTAGTGTCCTAGAAAGATATAGGTACAGGGAATTGTGGGCATGGGAGTGGAGAATTAGTGAGATTTGAGACCTTGTTACGATGCCTTCACCACATCAACCTGCAAAGTTGGATGGTTACAGCTGACCCGAGCACAAACCCACACCTTCAGACAAGCTAACTAGCTCAGGATCTACCCATCCTGAGATGCATGTTTCAGGTGTTTTGAGTGTGGACAAGGTTGGGGGGGGGAGGGTTGGGCGTATCCTTGCTCAGCATGTAAAGTCAGCAGTGTACACATACTCTAAATGGCCAAAACTCAACACACATTTGAATGATAGAAACAAAAGTTCTAATGTGCTACACCTTCCCCTGTTACAGAACACACTTTTTAAAAACTCTTATTAGCTCTATAAGGTCATCTAGGATCCTTGAAATTAAATAACAGTTTTATCTTTTGTTAGGTGTATCGAGACCTGGCGTAAATGGTCCACAAGGATATCCAGGACTGAAAGGAAATAAGGGAGAGAGAGGACAGCCTGGCATGAATGCTGTGGGATCTCCAGGACTTCATGGGTTTCCAGGCAGACCTGGTTCTGTAGGATCACCAGGTCCTCCAGGACAGCCAGGTACAGCATAGATCTTGTGTAACTGTGTATATCAGGGGTCGGCAACCTATGGCACGCGTGCCAAAGACGGCACATGAGCCGATTTTTAATGGCACACTGCTGCCTGCCGGGGTCCCGCTCAGCCTGCTGCTGAACCCCGGCAGCGGGCTGAGCCGGATCCCGGCAGGCAGCAGCGTGCCATTAAAAATCCTGCCCAACCCAGCCCGCTCTTCTCCGCCCCCCGCCTACCGCTCTCTCTGGTGGGGGCAGGGAGCAGAAGCAAGCTTGGTCCTGCCAGCTGCTGCTGTAGGGCAGGCTCCGCCGGCAGCCAAGCTTCCCCCTCCCCCGCCTCTTCCCCCAGCTTGCTGCGTCGAGCCCTGCCTCCTCTCCCTCCCTGCCACCGATGGCCCTTGCGAGGGAGGGGAGAAGAGCAGCCCCAGCGCCCTCACTTCTCAGACCGGTAAGGAGACAGAGAAGAGGCAGGGGGAAGGGTGGTAGGAGCCGGGCATATCCCTCCAGCCCCCTGCCGTGAGCTGCTCAGGGCAGGGGGCTGGGAGCACCCCCCTGATCGCAGCCCCCCCCAGCCCCCTGCCCTGACCCTTGCACCCCCCTTACACCCCAGCCCCCTGAATCCCCCCCACGACCCCATCCCTGATTCCTGCACCCTCCACACATACCCAGCCCCCTCACACCCCATGCCCTGACTCCTGCACCCCCTCACATGCCCCCAGCCCTCTGCCCTGACTCCTGCACCCTCCACACATCCCCAACCCCTCCACATTCCCCTGCCCTGACTCCTGCACTCCCCACACCCCCTGCCCTGACTACTGCAGTCCCCACACATACCCAGCCCCCCCACACCCCCTGCCCTGACTCTTGCACCCCCCACATCCCCACCTCCCACCCTGAGCACCAGGTTGACAGCGGGCTAAGCGGGGCCGGCAGCCGGGGCAAGGGGCTGGCAGCCAGAACCCCAGACCGGCAGTGGGTTGAGCAGGGCCGGCAGCCGGGACCCTGGCTGGCAGGAGCCAGCGGACGGAACCCCAGACCAGCAGCGGGCTGAGCTGCTCGGCCCGCTGCTGGTCTGGGGTGCCAGCCCCGCTCAGCCCGCCACCGGTCTGGGGTCCCAGCCCCCGGCCCCGCTCAGCCCGCTGCCAACCCGGGGTTCTGGCTGCCGGCCCCTTGCCAGCCGGGGTTCCGGCTGCAGGCCCCACTCAGCCCGCTGCCGGCCTAGGTGAACGGAACCCCAGGCTGGCAGCGGGCTGAGCAGGCTGGCAGCTTAAGATCAGCATTTTAATTTAATTTTAAATGAAGCTTCTTAAACATTTTGAAAACCTTGTTTACTTTACATACAACAGTAGTTTAGTTATATTATATATAGACCTATAGAGGGAGACCTTCTAAAAAACGTTAAAATGTATTAGCGGCATGTGAAACCTTAAATTAAAGTGAATAAATGAAGACTCGGCACACCACTTCTGAAAGGTTGCCCACCCCTGGTGTATATAATGGGCCAGATTATGGTCTCAATTACACTGGCACAAATCCAGAGTAATTTCAACATCTGTGGAATTGGCTGGTATCACTGAGATCAGAAAGCTGGCCCAGTGTCTTAACACTTCATGAGAAGTGACTTCTTGAGAATTCTCTGAATAGCCTGGTTGAATGGGAATTCCAAAGAGCAAACATTATGTACATTATTAACAGAAACAGTGCATGTAACAAAGTGCTGGGTTCCTCCGGGGGGGAGGGATAGCTCAGTGGTTTGAGCATTGGCCTGCTAAACCCAGGGTTGTGAGTTCAATCCTTGAGGGGGCCATTTAGGGAACTGGGGTAAAAATCTGTCTGGGGATTGGTCCTGCTTTGAGCAGGGGGTTGGACTAGATGACCTCCTGAGGTCCCTTCCAACTGTAATATTCTATGATCATTATTCTGAGATTCTGTATGAAAAACGTAAGGACTTCCCACCATTACAGAGAAGTTGGACAAGGGTGACAGTACACATCTACTGCACAGTGAGGAAGAAAGAATAGTCATGAAGAACACTCTGGTGATGTTAAAGGAAAGCCTGTTTATGTGGTTGACATTTCCAAAATTTCAGTAAGTCTGGAACAGTAAATTCAACAGGACCCAATTCAAACCCCATTGAAATCAATGGCAAAGCTCTTACTGACTACAGTGGGCTTTGAAGCAGTAATTCTGTGTGAGAATACGCCCCTTGCAATGCTGGTAAGTGGTAAGTGAAAAATGGGGTGATCAGCTAAGTGCAGGTTATAAAATTTGAGGAAGATGCAAACTCAGTGGGATTCAAATGGGTGTGCAACAGAACCAATTTTTTATTCAAAGTAGCAATTCATGGTAAAGCCAAATAAAGACTACTTTGTATTATAAACAGTAGGGCTGTTTATATTACCACCAAGTGTTACTGGTGGTAATACATTGTGCTATTTCTAAAGGCTTTTCTGTTGTTTTGAGGTAGCTGAGAATGCCGAAAGCAGCGCTAATGAAGAGACATGAGCAACATAAATTTGGGGTTCAAAGTTTCCCCTTTCATACCTGGAGCTTTAATTTATTTACTTCTCATCCAAAATAAAAGTACAAAATCTTTATCTGGAGTCACAGAACTGTGTTCTTTAAAGGTCATCACCCCATTAGCACAAACATATCCACCAGACCAAATGAGATTTACTGCTGCTTTACCAGATTTTTCCTCTGGTACTTCCATGTACAAGACCTTGTCGGTCTTTCTTCAAAATTTCAGATGTGTTTAGCGTAAGATTGTTCTTCCTTTGAGCCTGAATATCCTCTACAACCCATCATGGTGGTGTCTATCTCTCTTTCTCTTTGCAAAAAACTAAAACTCTTTGAACAGTCTGCTAAATTAATGTTGTCATACTCATGCTATCATCAGGTAAAGTAACGTTTGAAACGCACCCACCAGGAGTTCCAGGAAACCCCGGATGTGTGGGACCTCCAGGACTTCCAGGAGATAGTGGAGTAAAAGGTCAGCAATTGTGTGTGTGTGTGTGTGTGTGTGTGTGTGTGTGTGTGTGTAAATATGTTCCTAGAATTAATTTACTATTGATTCAGATGGAGAAACAAGATACAGACATTTCATTTAACCTTTCTATCGAACAAGAAACTGTTCCATGTTCAAGAAAGCTGCTGTAACTTACAGAAAACAACTGAGCTGAAAAATCAGATTCAGTCAAGATTCAATACAGAGCTGAATGTGATCATTCTACTGTTTGTCAGACTAAATAATTGGATCCGATTCTGCTGTACCTCATTTTCATGTGAGTGTAACTCCACTGAGTGCAGTAGGGTTTCTACAATACACCCACACGTGTGAGATCAGGATTGGGCCGTGTTGTGATTGACATGAACTGATCATTTCTTTTCAGCTAAAAAACGAGATATGTAGATGGATTAAAAATTATTATGCTGATTCTGGCTACGCCTTGGGAATTACCAATCAGAAATTAATTAATGAATTAATTTGTGTTAGCAGGACTTCTCCGTGTCTTTTTTTGTGTGTGTGGAAACAGCAAGAGGGCCAAGTTCCCCCTTGCACTGCCAAGATACTGGAGCCAGATAACTGCTCCAGTGGGACAAAGGGTAATTCCACTCAGGACAGTCTGGGGAAGGGAGAGTCACACACTCCCACAATCCTCACCTCTTCCTTCCCACAGTGCCATGTGAGAGAGGAGGCTGGAAATGAGGTCCCCCTGCAGATTGCACCACAGGGACTACTGCAGCTCTGTATTTTCCAACATGCTCACGATGACAACTTCTAGGGTCAGCCAGCCTATTGTGGAGCCACCATGCATAGGAGTTAAAGGCCTGGGCACGCTTTCCTCCTGCTTTACAGGATTTGGCTTATGAGTGTTTCTCAGCATAATACTAAAATAGTGAACAAAAACTAGGCTATTGAAACTGGGTGATCCTGTCTTTTAATTGATAATGCTGTAGGCTCTGGTGCCAAGAGATAAACCAGGCTGTGTTTAAAAGGATCTGTAAATCCTTGATTATTGATGATTAATGATTAAAATGAAGCTGTATTCCCAGAGTTTTCACACCTCTTTAACCCAGGAGATATGTTAAGTAGTTGAGCGGGCCTTATGCAAGCTATTCATTGAACACAGAAGTAATTTGCCACTATAACAATTAATGAAGGTATAATTTTGTTCCAGGTGAAGAAGCAAGTACTTGTAATCAATGCAGTTATATACCAGGAGGACCTGGATTTCCTGGTGCTCCTGGGCAAGATGGTCAAGAAGGAGTTACTGGTAAAATATCTTGGCTTTACTAAATTGTTATTGGGAAATGCCAATGTTTCTTCATGCACCATCTTTAGCTGCACAAATCCAACATCATTGACTCAATACAGTGAGATGCTTCTTTTAGTCAATACTCAAAACTGTCTGAAACTGGACGTTTGGGGCCAGGGACTGGATATCCAGGATGGAGGGCTTTGATTTTGTGGCCCACTAGTCCACTTTCTATGGGAAGAGGGGGCTGTACAGTTTAGATTGGTTCCCCTGCTATGGAGATGGAGGCTAACTCCTTGGGGACAGGTTGGCTAAGGTAGTCAGGAGGGGTTACACTGAGAGCAAAAGGAGAAGGTAAAAAAAGAGGAAGGATATGAGCACTCAGCAGAAAACTGAGATGTTGACAACAAAATTAATCAAGAAACCAGAGAACATGAAAACAAGACTTCTTCAATTGCCTATACTGTACACTAATGCCAGCAGCCTGGTAACAAACAAGAGGAATTGGAATTGTTCATTTATGAGCATAAATTTGATTTAGGTGGTATCACTGAAACCTGGTGGGATGATTCGCACGATTGGAATGTTAACATCAGTGGTTATAACCTATTTAGGAAGGATTGCGTGGGGAAAAGGGGAAGGGGAGTGGCACTCTGTCATTACCTGTTTCTGAGTCACTCTTAACACAGAAGAAAATGAACTTTCATGCTTATGGATCAATGTCCTAACACAGGGGTTCTCAACCTTTTTCTTTCTGAGCCCCCTCTCCCACCCCACCCCCCACTGTAAAAACTCCACAGCCCACCTGTGCCATAACAACTGGTTTTCTGCATATAAAAGCCAGGGCCAGCGTTAGGGGATAGTAAGCAGGGCAGTTGCCTGGGGCCCCATGCCACAGGGGCCTCCACAAAGCTACGTTGCTCAGGCTTTGGCTTCAGCCCCAGATGGCAGGGCTCAGGGCCCTAGGCTTCAGCCCCATGCAGTGGTGCTTTGGCTTTCTGCCCTGGCCCCAGCAAGTCTAACACTGGCCCTGCTTGGACCCTCTGAAACCTGCTTGCAACTTCCCCCGACCCCTGGTTGAGAACCACTGTCCTAAGAGATAAAGCACAAGATGGGTTATTGGTGTCTGCTACAGACCAACAAATCACACTAGGGAACAAGATGACTGCCTCCTTACACACCCATCTATAATGTTTATGGGGGGAAACTGTGTGATCATGGGGGACTTCCATTTGAGTGACATATGCTGGAGGTCTTATGCTGCTAGTACTAAAACATCCTTTGAATTTCTAAACATTATAGATAACAATTTCCTAATAAAGCGTTGCAGCCAACACATGGGGACTTCCTTATTAGACCTTGCCTTAATAGATAAAGCGGAACTGATCACACAACTAAAAGTTGATGGTAGCTTATGTATTACTCCTGGGGGAATTCTGTGTCGAAATCATACCTTCCGCAGATTTCTTGGCTCCCCTGTAAAAAAATGGGACCCGAGCTCCTGTCAGGGAGCAGGGTCAGGACAGGCTTGCAAAGAGCCAGCCCAACTCCCCGGTAGCACGGTGAGTGGGGTGGAGGCTAGCCCCTGGCTCCTCCCCTTCTGCTCCTCCCCCCTCCCTCCCTCGCAGTCACAGTTCCCCCAGCACCTGGGCAGTGTGGCTGCAGCTCCAGCCGGGCGGCACAGCTATAGCGCCACCAGACCAGGTGCTTCAGGGAGTGGGGAGCGGGGGAAGTTCCGGGGGGTGGGGGCGGGGAGCAGGGCGAGTTGCAGGGGGGCAGTCAAGGGGCCTGAGCCCTGCTGCTGGGGACAGGGCCAGAGCAAGCCATGGCCCCCCTCTACCCCCAGCATGCTTGGCTCCTGTCCCCAGCAGCCAAGCCCAGACAGGGAGCGAGCCCTGCCTGACTGCCAGGGAGAGCAGCCAAATGAGCAGGGGAAATGCACAAGGAAAGGATGGAGTCGCCCTTTCCCCCACTCCACAGGTAACGTGGGGTGGGGAGAGCAGGGAGGATTGGATAAGGGGTGGGGGGGCCCCAAGGGGGAGGTCAGGGGGTGGGGAGCAGGGGAGATTGGATAGGGGTGGGTGTCCCTTCTGGCAAGGAAAACATTTACCTAGGAAACCTTTAGTAGGGAGCCTGTATTGTAATTTTTCTAGGAAATTAATAATGGGGAGGAAGAAATTCCAAGATAACAAGTATACCGGAGGGATTTCTTTATACACCCACCAGCCAGCAATTTACCAATGTCTCTTCCAAGGCAGTTTGTTGATGTGTGCTGTATCCGAAAGGCAGCAATTCTCTGTATTGTATGTTAGTACCAGAGCTTGTCAAAGGAATGAAAAACTGATATATCTTTCAATTGTCACAGGTAGACAAGGAATAAGTGGTCCCAAAGGATCTCGAGGTTCTCCAGGGGCACAAGGGCCTTCAGGTCCTCAAGTAAGATTTAAGTTAAATGGATTTTTCAGTTGCAATATTGAATTTTCGTGAGCTGAGAATCGTGGTGTCTAGTTGTATTGCCATATGCAGGATATACTGTTACTATTTTAGCTTGATGGTTCCAGGAAGGTGGTACTTTCAGAGTCTAGAATTAGGGCTAATTTCAGTTTTAATTAAAAAATGGGGAGGGGTGTGGAAAAAATGTGCTTTAGCTTTTTTCCTTGTAAAGATATCCTCAAAAATACGAACCAGTGTAAACCAGTCACTAGGGTGGAAAGTGTAACATACATTTTTCCTGAATATCACAAGGAAATACACATCACCATGAATACCACAATGCCTGGGGTGGCCATTGAGCTTCATGAAATACATGCTCACTGGTCCTTTGATTTTTAGAAGTTCTCCAGATCAGTGCATGTTTATAGGGGCAATGCTGCCCACATTGTCACTCATGGTACTATGTCTGTTATATGCTCCTCTCCTAGCTGGCCACCTATAGGCCATCTCCTGAAACCCATTACCAGAGGCTATAATGACTTATCTAGGTAATGTGAGAGGCAGCATAACCTGTTGAATTTTAAAGGGAACTAAGAGCAAGAGCCTCCTGTGTTCAAATTTAGGCTTGACCCAGACTTCCTCTGTCATCTTAGTCAAATCTCTCTATCTTAGTGTCCTCAGCTATGAAATAAAGATGGTAATGACAATGATACCTATCTCACAGTCAAAGGTGGTTGTGGAGACTAATTAGTTAATGTGTTTAAAGTGTGTGTGTGTGTGTATGTTAAAATTCACTACATACACTCCAAACCGCATATTTATTCAGATAATTGTCCTTTATAAACCTGTTCTTAATGTTGGTGATTATCCCTAGACCCCAGTGCAAGCCATGGAGTTCCATTTCCCCTACAAAGCACTGGAAATGTTTCACTGGCTCACCCCAAAATGCTAAGGGCAGCTCTGATTCTTAGGAATTCTGGGATGCTTTGTTCCCTCAAGCAGGCACAGTGGCTCCTCAAGCCCCAGGGAGTGCGGGAGAAGCTAGCTTTATGCTGCCCTTTGAGAGGGTGTAAACCCCTAGCTCTATTGGCTGGGGCAAGAGACAAAGATTCCCTCAAAGCATCTTTAAGGGATCTGCCTTGTGTCTGCTTCAACTTGCACCAGCAGTAGTGGCTCCCTATTAATTAATTAATTAATATTATTTTATTATTAGACATGTTACAGTAGTGCCCAGGAGCCCCAGTCATAGACCAGGACTCCCTGTGCTGGACTCAGTATAACTAGGGCCCTACCAAATTCACAGCCATGAAAAACGCGTCACGGGTCGTGAAATCTGGTCTCCTCTGATGACATCAGTCTTTTGTGTGCTTTTACCCTATATCATACAGATTTCACAGGGGAGACCACCATTTCTCAAATTGGGGGCCCTGACCCAAAAGGGAGTTGCAGGGGGTCACAAGGTTATTTTAGTGGGGTAAGGGTATTGACATCCTTACTTCTGTGCTGCCTTCAGAGCTGGGGGGCTGAGAGCAGTGGCTGTTGGTTGTGCGCCCAGCTCTGAAGGCAGCGCCCCGCCTGCAGCAGTACAGATGTAAGGTTGGCAATACCATATCATGCCATCCTTACTTCTGTGCTGCTGCTGGCGGCAACTCTGCCTTCATAGCTGGGCTCCCAGCCAGCAGCCACCACTCTCCAGCCACCAAGCTCTGAAGGCAGCACAGAAGTAAAGGTAGCAGTATCACACACATCCCCTACAATAACCTTGCAACCCCCCCCCCCCCACAACTCCTTTTTGGGTCAGGACCCCAACAATTACAACACCATGAAATTTCAAATTTAAATAGCTGAAATCATGAAACTGACGATTTTTAAAATCCTATTACCATGAAATCAACCAAAATGGACCATGAATTTGGTAGGGCCCTAAGTATAACACAGAACAAATTGATCATCTCTGTCCCAAAGAGCTTACAATCATCAGTTCACCAGCCCAGGATCACCAGAGTACAGTGTGCTTCAGACCCCAAATGTCCCTTACACTGGGGGACCTGTAATGGGTGACATAGAGCCATCTGTGTCAGCATTAGCATGCAACAGGAAATTCCCATCTTAGCCCTGATCTACACTGGAGGGGGGGCGGGGAGTCAATCTAAGTTACGCAACTTCAACTACGTGAATAATGTAGCTGAAGTCGACGTACTTAGATCGACTTACTGTGGTGTCTTCACCGCAGTGAATCGACTGCTGCCACTCCCCCGTCAACTCTGCCTGCGCCTCTCGCAGCGCTGGAGTACAGGAGTCTACGGGAGAGGGCTCGGGGGTCGATTTATCGCATCTAGATGCGATAAATTGATCTCCGCTGGATCAATAGCTGCCCGCCGATCCAGTGGGTAGTGAAGACATACCCTTAGTGGTTTAAGCCATCTTTCTGTCATTCCTTTCCACCACCAGGGCAGGGCAAGGATCTGACCCCCTAACTTAAATTATCAGCCTCAGGTACAACAAGCAAATTAAAATAATAATTCTTATTTGACTAGTGAAATTAGTGAAGACAAAATTAAATTAAAATCCTGGGACCCTCTAAAGAATTGCCTAAGAAAGAAAGAAAATTAGTCATTTAGTGTTGATATAAAAAAACTACTTGACATAAATCTAACATGGAAATTCTTAACTGCTGTGTCCTAGGGACTTCCAGGTTTTCCAGGAGATCAAGGACTGAAAGGGCCAAACGGTGAACCGGGATATGTGTATCCAGAAGGGCAAAAAGGAAACAGAGGAGATCCAGGGATCAGAGGAAATCCAGGGAGGAAAGGTTCAGATGGATTGCACAAAAAACATGGTTCAAAAGGCTCAAAAGGTTTAAAAGGCGAAAGGGTTGGTATACATTATTTTCAATTATTTTAGAATTAATAGAAAGCTAAGTAAATAATTATACATTTCATAGCCCTATTCATTAGAATTAAAACACTGTAACATCTGTAAAGATAGCTAAGTAAACTTAAACATGCTCTAACCCAGTGGTTCTCAACAAGGGGTCCAGGGCCCCCTAGGGGGCAGCGAGCAGGTTTCAGGGGGTCCGCCAAGCAGGGCCAGCATTAGACTCACTTGGGCCCAAGGCAGAAAGTGGAAGTCCCACTGCATGGGTCTGACGCCTGGGGCCCTTAGCCCCACTACCCAGGGCTGAAGCCAAAGCCTGAGCAGTGTAGCTTTGCAGGGCCCCTTGGCAATTGCCCTGCTTACTATCCCCCAATGCCAGCCCTGGCTTTTATATGCAGAAAACCAATTTTTGTGGCCCAGGTAGGCCATGGAGATTTTATAGCATGTTGGGTGGGCCTCAGAAAGAAAAAGGTTGAGAACCCCTGCTCTAACCCAACCACAGCATATAGTCTTGATGCAGGAGTTACTGGGTAATATTCTATGGTGTGTGTTTTGCAGGAGTTTAGATGAGATAATCGAACGGTCCCCTCTGGTCTTAAAATGTATAATCATAAAAGATATCCAGGCATTGACGCTGATTGCTCTGTAGCTACAAGGGTTAGGGGAATCAAACTTTTTCAGCACTTTTTTTGTTCTGCAAAAAATGTTGATATTTCAACTTTTCATCCCAATTTGGACAAAAATATTAAAATACAAGAATTTCCCATAGGACAGAAATTTTTATTTTTGTCTAATGTTTTCTGTGAGGCTTAAAATGGTGGCAAAGTGGTAAAGCTTTGATTACACTTACTCATTTGCAATTTGTATGGAATTGTGTGGGCAGCTTCCATTATACATTGGCAAATTTAGTCAAATCAAAGCATTGATCAAATCATTTTTATGGTCTATGTTACATATACATAAATTGGAACATGAAAGGTCCTATTCATTAGTTTTAGCTGCTGGAATGTCTCTAAGAATTTGTATTGGAAGAAGTAGGTTCCCTGGGAGGATCAGAAGGCAGTATCCCAGAATGGGCAAATACCTCCTGTATTCTTGCAGTACTACTGCATTTTCTTTTAGGATCTCACAAAGGCACAGGATTAGATAAGGATACAATAAACAGACAATTTTGTGTCTCACACTATGTAAGTCAGGAGTACTTTGCTTAAGATGATTGAGTTATTCTTTTGTTAAAATAGTGTGAGATCATAATCAGTCCAATGTATCAAAACTTGTTGCTGCTGGAACTAACACGGAAAAATAAGCAATGCACACTATGCAAATATATCTAATTATTAATAGGGACTGGATGGTTCGAAAGGGGACAGAGGGTTATCAGGATTGCCTGGTAACCCAGGTCTTCCTGGAGAAATGGGGCTCACTGGACCACCAGGATATGGACCACAAGGAATGACAGGTCCCAAAGGCACTAAGGGAATGTCTGGATTGCCTGGATTGCCTGGAGAAATTGGTTTGTAATTTTATATCTTATCACTAGCTTCCCTTTTTAAAGTGTTTGACTTTCATTTAAACACACTGATGAACTGACCTGTATGGTGGCAAGTGATGTGATTTGGAAGGATGCAAAGTAGTTTACAATAGAAAGATAGTCAAAGTTTCTGAGATAAGCTAATAGACACTAAATTCCCAGGACCCTAGCAGTAAAAAGATTTAATAGTCATCGGTGCTAGTTGATGGCCAGAAGACACTTTGACTCTGTCAGGCATAGGTTTCCCCTCCCAGAAATGAAATTATTTGATTGTATCAATCTGGTTGTTGATCCTGGGGATAAGATACATTTGGGAATCCTTGTAATATACAGACTCTCACATCATGAGTCCTACCCAGTCTAAATGAGTCTCTTTTGGTCTTGCATTGGCCTTTTCAACGTTTATTGTCCTGGTGGACTTCAACATCCATGATAACTCTTATTCGTTGGCTTGAATCTCCAAGACAAACCTGGGAATTATTCCTGCATGTTTCAGAATCAATGCAGCCAGAGAGACACGTTAGATCTTTTTGGAATAGATCTGAGGATTAAGTATCTGTAAGCTGTCCTATTGTCTGCGTGCTTCCTTTGCTGTGTCCCCCTGGTGCACAATTCCATACTTTCTAATATATTTAAAGAAGTGTCTAGGGGATTTTTTGGTGGCAGTAAAATGCTATCTCTTTAATTGTTATGTAGCCCATTTCTATGGGCTTGTTGGAGCTTCTAAGCTGTAGAAACTGTGCAACACAGTATTTTTTAACTGAACAGAATTTTCCATGAATATTGTTTTAAAAAGCACAAGAGCACACACTATATCTCCACAAACCTCCTTAACCTTTTGTTATATTTACTTTCTGAAGGTCCAAAAGGAGAACTTGGTACAGTAAATCCAACACCTGGACTACCAGGACCTCGGGGGCCAGAGGGTTTACCAGGACCCCCAGGAGCAATGGGTGAGAGCATATTCTAGGTTAAATGCAATAAAACTAAACACATCAGAGAGATTCTGCATGAAATTCTAACCCCCACTCTGGCTTCTTTATGCTGGGTAAAAGGGCCAAAGGAGAGTACAGGTACCCTAAAAGTTCTGGGTCCAGCTGAGTGAATTCCCTCAGCACTGGCACTGTAGAGACAGCCATAAGATTGCCTTCCGAGGATCCCCTTGCAAGCCCTGGTGTAGGGGGCATAGGTGGGGGCAAGAAGAACATTCTGGGGGTGTGGAGTGCTGTGGAGATTCTGGGCAGTGTTGCCATTCATAAGGCAGCCTGGGGAGGCTGCTATAATTTAGATTGGTTCCCAACACTGTCTGAATTACACTGAGGCTGCTCCAGCCCCCAGAGAAGGCAGTAATTGAAGACAGTAATTGAGCCACCTTTGGCCATCCCCTTTCCCCCCACCTCCATGCCCTGGACTGGGAGTTCTGTGCTACACCGTAAAAAAGCATAGTACAGAACCTCACCCACTGTTTCTGAGCTTGCTGGAAAGAACAGATTTGTAACAAAGCTTCTAGCTTCTTTTTGTTTTAAGTGTTTGTTATGTAACATAGTTCTATATTGTTTTTGGTCCACTGTTACTTTTTAATAAAATGTTATGCTTTATAGGTTACACAAAATGATTTCAAAGACTGTGGGTCCAGATTCTTGTCCATCTTAAAGCCCCTTTGCATTGCTCCCATGGCACAAAGGGACCTTAAAGCAGCCCCTAAACAGCATAGGGGAATCCTCAGCTTCCCCCCCCCCCCCCCAGACACACACAATGCATGTTCATATGTGGTCAATAAGAACATGCAAGTCGAAGATTTGTATATGCACATAGCTACACACATGCATCCCAGACCTGTGCACATAACAGAAGGCATTGCATATGCCTGACTTGCAGACTCATGCCCCTGGGATTGACGTTTAGCATTTTATCTGGAAAAAACTCACCTGGAAGAAAGTGTTAGAGTGAGGAGTAAAAATGGTGTCTGAGTTCTAATAAACCAATTGACTACATCGTTATGGGGTATGATAAGGTGGCAAACACCAAATTGCTAAATGCAGAAGATCTATGGCAAAATATCTGAGAGTTTGTTTTCTTCTGATAGGTAATGTTGGATCTAGAGGACAACATGGTGATTTGGGATTACCTGGGTCTGATGGTGCTCCAGGATTTTCAGGGACTGGATTTCCTGGAGATCCTGGTCCAAAAGGTAGAATGCTCCTTTACGATTTTTTATAATTCTTTTTTAGTTGTTTTGGACAATAAAATCATTTGAGAGACTGACAGAAAAACTATTTTAACCCATATACAGTTCAGGCAAATAACTCTTGAAAAGGTCTGTATTATAGTACTCATACGGTTGTCTACATTAAAGCATGTAAATTGAAAATATAAAATATTTTTATCTATTTTCCAAAAGTCAGGCATCAGAACTGAAAAAATGGAGTATGTTTGGAAAGATGTGCACAAGGATTTCGCTGGAAAATTTGCCTTACTATAACATCTTGAAAATGCATATAGAAACACACCAGACATATAATGTACCTCAAGGAAAACTTCCTATAAGGAGAGGGAGACTAAAACACTTGCCACACAGATCTAATTTTTCTGTGCAGCGCTTAGATACTCTGCAGAAAAGGACCTGGGGATTATAGTGGACGAGAAGCTGGATATGAGTCAGCAGTGTGCCCTTGTTGCCAAGAAGGCCAACGGCATATTGGGCTGTATTAGTAGGAGCATTGCCAGCAGATTGAGGGAAGTGCTTATTCCCCTCTATTCGGCACTGGTGAGGCCACACCTGGAGTATTGCATCCAGTTTTGGTCCCCCCACTACAGAAGGGATGTGGACAAATTGGAGAGAGTCCAGTGGAGGGCAACGAAAATGGTTAGGGGGCTGGGGCACATGACTTACGAGGAGAGGCTGAGAGAACTGGGGTTATTTAGTCTGCAGAAGAGACGAGTGAAGGGGGATTTGATAGCAGCCTTCAACTACCTGAAGGGGGGTTCCAAAGAGGATGGAGCTAGACTGCTCTCAGGGGTGGTAAATGACAGAACAAGAAGCAATGGTTTCAAGTTGCAGTAGGGGAGGTCTAGGTTGGATATTAGGAAACACTATTTCACTAGGAGGGTGGTGAAGCACTGGAATGGATTACCTAGGGAGGTGGTGGAATCTCTATCCTTAGAGGTTTTTGAGGCCCTGGCTGAGATGATTTAGTTGGTGTTGGTCCTGCTTTGAAGAGGCGATTGGACTAGATGACCTCTTGAGGTCTCTTCCAACCCTAATATTCTATGATTCTATGATGGCTAATACTATTGTATCACTGAGGTACTTACATATTACAGTGATAAGGCCTTTGTAAGTACCAATGCTTTAGTTATAAAGTATATAGTTGTGTTCATGCCATACCAGCTCTATTGGTAAAAGGAATAGAAGGTGTTTCGAGTACCATGAATTTAGTCCTTCTCCACGCAAATGTAAGCCCCACTTCTAAAATGTCTCCAGATACCATTCCAGAAATATTAGACGCCCTTGGCTCTTTGTGTTCCCCCCTCATAGTTAAAGAAAACCCATCCAGAGCATTGATACTGAAATCATAAGTGTGCCACTTTCTGTAGTGAGTGAACAAGAAATTGACCATAGTAATGCCCCATTTAAAATTAGATGAGAGCAAACAGAAATTAAGCAAAATAACTCTAGTCCTTTTCTACCTGGCATCAAATCAACTTGTAAAGGCAACTAAAAGAGAGCTAATTAAATGAGCCCTAAAACTAGGCAGTGCGACAATCAATGTTTGAATGAATACCAAGGTGAACGGGTTATAGTGGGTGCTAATTCAACTCTGGAGTCAGAATGCTGCCAGCAATTCACATAACTTACGCTAGTAGTTACAAAAGTCAGAGCCTTATGAACAAGAAAGTAAAAATCTGTGTGCTTATTCAGCAAAATAGATGGATAAGCAGGGTGTTTTCATCTGCCATTTGGTTTGCTTTGCAGGGGATAAAGGTCTTCGAGGGTCTAAAGGATCACCAGGTTTGCCAGGAAAGGCAGGAGAACCAGGCTCGCCTGGACAGCCTGGATACCCAGGAGAAAAGGTTTGATTTAGAAACACAACCCAAGCTTAATCAGGGCTGCTTGTCAGCAAGCATGTTTCCAAACAAATTAAGCAAATGAGAGATCTAAGGAGCACAGGATTTGGTTTCTAATTGTGAAAACTATCTACAAGGCCACAATTCCTGAAAGCATCACTGTTCTGGAACAGCAATTAAACATATGCTTACATCCCACTCAAGTAAATGGGACTTAAGCACATGCTTAATGTCAATCATATGCTTAAGTGCTCTCCTGAATCAGGACATTTAAAAAAAAAAAAAACAAGGTCAGAGGCCACAGGTGTAATCAAAAATGTGGATAAATGAGAGCTCAGCTACTAACGCCATTTTTGAGGTTAGGGCTTTGCTGTTTGCTGTGTCATTAAGCCCCAAAAGTGGTTTTGTTTTTAATAAAATAAAACACATTTCTTTGCATCAGACTGGCGTTCTGTCTTTTCTGCTTGGTCCTATTTTGCTATCTAATCTGATTATTTGTTTGGTTGCTTAAAGTCACCTAAACTGAATGTAAAAGATTAAAAAGGTAACACACACAGCCCATAAAATGTCCAGGTATGGAACTAGTCAGCAAGATTCCACCTGCCCCAGTAACGTAGGGCTTACTTCGGTTTATGGCAGCCTTCGGAAAGGCCTTTGTGGTCTAAATACACAATCAGTAATTGCATATAAACTAAGTTCCTCTGGATGTGATTTAGCTCTCTGGGGCAGGGACTGCCCTTTTCTTTTGTGTTTGTACAGCATCTAGGACAGTGGGGTCCTGGGTTATGACTAGGGCTTGTAGGCTCTGAGGTGGTGGTAATAATAATAAATTGTTGAATTTACCTGCTTATTTGAAAGCCAGTCCAAAGCAGTTCAGTCAGCTTGTCAAAAAGAGCAGGTCAGACTTTCCTGTCAGGAATTTTTCTTTCATAGAATTTTCCTTTTGAAGAAAACAGCCTCACCTAACATATGTCAGGGTATTTCTGAGGCATGGTATCTGAGTGCTGACCCATGTACTGAACCTTGTTCTCATTCTCTGTTAGTGGCAGGGCTAGTACTAAATCAGATTGCTTGATTTGCTGGCCCATTATTTAAATGTATATTTATCCAAAAGTATGAATACTGGGTAATGTGAAGTTAAGTGTAGAACTTGAATGAGAGAGATTTGAGTTGTCTGAAGTACAGGTGCAGCAGGATATCTGAGAGCTGCAGAGGCAGAGAGCAGGGACGGGACTACCTTCTATTGTTCAACAATGATTCTTCCAGCTGTGTGGGGAAACCCTGCTCATGTAGAATAATAATACTAAAATAAGAGCAAGAGGTGTAAAGGGGTGTTTGGTGGGGAGGGGAGAAATGTATTTTCAGTGCTTTGACATAAATGTGAAAGATCCCCAGGGAGTGGAGATATAATTTGACAGAAGACATGAACTACTGACAGGACAGAGAGAGTCATATTTTCAGATTTACAAAATGTAATCTACATTCTGCATTTATGTTTTTCCTCTGTTTCAGGGAGACCCTGGATTAATTATTCCTGGCCAACAGGGTGGATTAGGTTCCCCAGGACAAGGCGGCTTTCCAGGGGTAAAAGGTGACAGAGGAATTCCAGGTCTACCAGGATTCCCAGGACATAACGGTGCTGATGGGCCAAGAGGTATTGTCATTAACAAAAAACAGCCAAGGAACTCTTTACCTTACACCCATTTTGTTAAGCGAGGCTCTAAGAAAAGGAGGGAAAGGACAAGTTTATTGTCCACCTACAAAAATTCAAGTAGTAATTAATTTAATGTTTTCTCTCTCTTAGGAGAACCTGGCTGTCCCGGAGCTCCCGGAGAAAAGGGACTTCCAGGGAAGCTTGGTGATTGTCTTATTGGTCCACCAGGTCTCCCAGGTGCACATGGATTAACAGGCCAACAAGGTAGGAATACACAGAATACCTGCCAGATCTGCCTGATATATAGTTGACTGAGTGGGGTTTGGTTTTATTTTTACCCTACAATTGCATAAATGATGATGAAAAGGTCTTACGGATATTTGATGTAATATTATGCAGAAAATATTAGACCAGTTAAAGGCCACAATTCTGCAATATGATCTCCATAGGCAGACCTTAACAACAGCATGGAGTCTGATTGGACTTCACGTAGGGGATCACATTTCAGTGCTGGGTCCTAACATATTAGTGACATACGGCCATATGTTCCCTGCTGCTTACACAACACAGAGAAGAGCAGACTGGCTCAGATTACATAGAAGATCAGAGAGGGTGTCATGCAGAGGGGAAAGGAATGTCACATGGTCCCTCCCCAGCACATGTGATGGAGCTCAACTTTGTGTGGCAGAAGGGGATATGCCTAGGGTGAGGAGTCACAGAGCCTGTGCAAACATGTTCTTATTGAAGTTAATTGGGAATTACAGTGCTTTAAGCAATAAAATTTGCTACTGCTGGACCAAATCCCTTTCCATAGTTCTCTGTGCCATGGAGAAAGGTTTGTGGATGGCTGACCCTAGAAGTAAAATGAGGCAATATCATTGTCCAGAGTGGGAGCTGGGGCACAGAAGTGGCAGAGAAGAAGGATCCCGCTAGGGGGAAACCAGATCCATGGGTTTGTCATCTGTGGCTCCTAGCATCTACATTTATTGCAGAATACCTCCCTTCCTAAAAGAGACAGTGTGGCAAAGTAGCAATGCAGATGTGTCCTCCTCTTCTGTACCTTTTAAAGGTGACCTCAAAAGATTTTTAATATATAGATTTTTAGGGCTGTCAAACAATTAAAAAAATAATCCCAATTAATTGTGAGATTTTAAAAAGTAGTTCAGATTAATCAGTTTTAATCCCACTATTAAACAATAAGAGAATACCAATTTAAATTATATATATTTAATGTTTTCCAACATTTTCAAATATATTGATTTTAATTACAACACAGAATACAAAGTGTACAGTACTCACTTTATATTATTATTTTTATTATAAATATTTGCACTGTAAAAAATCTACAAGTTGAAGCATGAAGGAGCATATGAATGTTTAGCACATCTAGCATGCAAATATCTTGCAATGCCAGCTACAAAAGTGCCATGCAAACGCCTGTTCTCACTTTCCAGTGACATTGTAAATTAAAAGTGAGTAGCATTATCTCCTGTAAATGTTAACAAACTTGTTTGTCTTAGTGATTAGTTGAACAAAAGAAGTAGGACTGCGTGGACTTGTAGGCTGTAAAGTTTTACATTATTTTGTTTTTGAGTGCAGTTATGTGGGGAAAAAATCTACATTTGTGAGTTGCACTTCCACGATAAAGATATTGTACTACAGTACTTGTGTGAGGTGAATTGAAAAATACTATTTCTTTTGTTTCTTTTTTACAGTGCAAATATTTGTAATCAAAAATAATAATATAAAGTGAGCACTCTACACTTTATATTCTGGGTTGTAATTGAAATCAATATATTTGAAAATGTAGAAAAACATCCACAAATATTTATAATAAATGTAACTTAGTATTCTACTATTGTTTAACAGTGCGAATCAAACAGCAGCAACAAGGGCCGGGTTCAGTATCTAGGGGTTCCTTTTCAACAATACAACACAAAACCGGCTCGAGCCCCCAGCCAGTGACCTGGGACAATTACACACCACCCCCTGGGCGCCTCTAAGAGGCAATGCTTCCCCTCTCGCAAGCACAGAGTCTGAATGATGCAAAAACTTTTAATAAAAGGAGGGAATTAACTCTGCATTAATTTGGGGAAACACCACAACTAGGGTTCATAAACACAAATCATGAACAAAAGACCCACCCCCAAGTAAGTTGGGCAGTGTCCTTTTCCACTCGCTTGTTGCCCCAACAGCCAATTGCCATGCCTTTGCAGGGCTCTGCTCTGGCCCTCTCCACCAGCTTCTCTGCTGGCCACTTGCCATGCCTCTGCACCAGCGACCCTGCTGGCCACCTGCCGCGCCTCTCCGCCAACTGCCCTGCTAGCCGAGTTTCACAGGCATGACTACAGGACCCAGTCTGGTGTGGTTTTCTTCACAGGAGATTACATATATTTACTGTATGCCATGTATTTGTTTTCTTAGGAGAAAGAGGTGTACTAGGATCAAAAGGAGACCCCAATATTCCAGGCTTGGATGTCCCAGGATTCCCTGGACAATTTGGGCTGCCTGGATTGCCAGGTCGCCAAGGAGACACAGGATCGCCTGGTCTCAAGGGTCAGCCTGGCAGACCAGGAATACCAGGTGCACCAGGTAAGGATTTTCCAGATACATGTTTATACCACCCTTTGTTATAACTTGGCTATCATTTTCTTTCACATAGAAACAGAAGAATGGTTCCTCCCAGTGCAGACAGAGCTTCTCTGACAGCTATGCTTCTGGATGGTGGTGTGATTTATACAGAAAACAAATGAGTGTGTTCTGCCCAGACTGATCAGCAGTCCTTGGTACAAAATGTCTGGAGGCTCCAATACAGTGCTTCTTGGCCAAGAGGATGTTCCAGGATCCTCCTGCTCACTATGTTCCTCCATCTTCCCAGGAAGTAATCCAAAACTTCCCGTGCAGTCTGTAAATTCAGTATGCTGCTAATTATTGAAATATTGATGCTGCCAAACCTAACTTTTTGCTGGCCCATCCCCCTGTACAAGAAACAGTTTTCATTTTACAGAAATTCTCCCTATCTGTTTAGCTTTTTACCTAGTATATGTTCTGACTTCTGCTGTGGTAGAGGCCCTCTTTGCCTTATAAAACTTATTCCTGTAAATGCCATCTTCCTTATTTTATCTTAATTTCAGTACAGTGAAAGGAAATCCATTATTCATCTGTTTACTTTAATGTGTTCAAATACTGAATCTGATGCATGGATTTATAAATACATAACTGAGATTAGAATCTGTCTCCCTCCAAGGGTTAACCAGAGCTTCCCCTGTTTCTTGGAATGGGCATCCCCATAGTTGTTAAAGAATATGTTCTTAATGGTTTTAAGATTTGTGAGGAGAAAGGAAGAAGTCAAGTGTGCACTGCTTCTTATTTACAGCCAAAGACTAAAACCTTCATTTTTTCAATGCCCAGTATATTATGCATATCTTTTGTAAAATACAACCCATAAAATTAATTATAGAAATATAGTGTGTCTGTAGATAATCTCATTAAATATAGTCTGTTAAAAGCCAAGGGTCAGATGCTGCAATCCTTACTCACATGAGTAACATTTGGGGATATTATACATGTAGGGACTACTCACATTACTTAGGGTTGCAAGACTGGGCCCTAAAGAATGTTAAGTAAATGAGAAAATAATTAAAAATAAAAGAGAAACTGATTACATAGTTAGGCATTTACATACCACATATCACTACAAGTAATTAGCCACAAACATACATACATATTTACAAACATTTATTTTTCAAAACTAATGTTCTGGGAACACTTTACTAATCAAACACTTCAGAAACATGCTTTATATTTCTCCATTTCCCCAGGCCAAAGAGGAGAACGAGGTATAATGGGCAATTTAGGAATTCCTGGACCTCCTGGTGTCTTTGGACACCCAGGCATTCCAGGAAACAGAGGTGAGTCGCTATAATATTTACCTTATCTAATTATTTAAGAACATAGGAATTGCCATAGTAGATCAGACATGTGGTCTGTTTAATCCAGGATCTTGTCACCCACACTGGCTTGAATCATATGCTTCAGAAGAAGATGCAAGAAACCCCAGACTAGGCAAATGTGGTATAATCTGCCCCCCAGGAAGGTCTAATCCTTATCCCTAATAGCTAGAGATTAATTAATTAAAACTTGAAACGTGATATTTTTATCCCTTCCAGAATGCTTTTTCTTAGCATTAACTATTATAACTCTGAATATCCTTGTTACACAGGCGCCGTCTTCCTCCTCGTGCCGGGGGTGCTCAACCCCTACTCTGCCCTAGGCCCCACCCCCATTCCACCCCTTCCTCCAAACCCCCACCCCCACCTCTTCCCGCCCCCACTCTGCCCCAGGCCCTGCCCGCACTCTACCTTCCCCGAGCACCCACCTATGCCTTCTTATGTAGATAAATGTCCAGTCTTTGAATCTTGTTAAATTCTTAGCCTTAATGAGTTCCACAGTCCACTTATAAATTGGGTGGAAAAGTATTTCCTTCTATCAGTTTTGAATTTGACACCTTTTAATTTCATTGAATGTCCTCGTTTTGTGTTATGAGATGAGAACAGAAGTTCCTCACCTACCTTCTCTAGACCATCAACTTTTTTAAATACTGTTATCAAGTCCCTTTTATTCATCTCCTTCCTAAAATAAACAATCCCAATCTTTTCAATCTCTCTTCATATGAGAGTTTTTTAATTTACACAATTTGTGGATTATTTCTGATGTGGGCATGCTAATTTCACCTCAGCAATCTCGTTAAACAATTCACCGTGAATCCATTCTTTGGTTAAATAATGATCTAAATAACATCATTTAGTTAGTCAAGTACTTGTGCACAGGCAACTCCAATTAAAACCAATGGGAATTTCACACGTGTGGCTGATGAAATGATCAGGCCTCTGGCATCCTGCTATTTCCTTGTAATAGTGGGAATGGAAGAAACCAAGTTGCCATTGTCTTCTCAGCTGAGGGTGAAAAAAGAAGTCTTGTTGAAGACTGCTGCTTTTAAGAAGCTGGTTCTTCCACCTCTTTAGCATAGTCACATACAATCATTCTTAAAAACAGTAGTATATTTTTGTTTCTTTTCCATTTACTATCAGCTAGTCAGGTTTCCTCCACATATTTCATTATATTGCTTTGCAGGTTCTCCTGGCCTTCCAGGACTGAAGGGAAGAAAAGGGTTTTTAGGGGCAAAGGGTGAACCAGGTGATAAAGGATTTCCTGGACCATCAGAGACCAGAGGGAATCCTGGGGATAAAGGAGAACCAGGATCAAAAGGTACATCTCTTTTTCTATTTAATTTGAAAACAATTAGATACAGATCATCCAAATTACAATTCAAACAGCCTGGAGACCCACAGCTTGTGGGTTGCCAGGACTGACTTAGATTTGCTGGGGCCCAGGGCCAAAATTGGAGCCAGAGGGCTTCAGCCCTGGATGCGGGGTTCAGGTTACAGCCCCCTGCCTGAGGCTGAAGCCCTTGAGCTTTGGCTTCCCCACCTATTTTCTCTTTTAAATTACTTATTACAATCCATATTCCTAAAAAGTAATATCAGTGTGATGTCATATCAGGTATGATATGCTGTCATGTCAATAGTGTATGAAGTTTAGTCCTGCGCTTTTGGTATGCATGCATTTGTAAACATTTAATAACCCATGCACGCAAAGACTTATGTGTGCCCACCCATTGGGTATTTGTGAACAAACAGATGGAATGTGCTCACAAATACCTGGTTTGCAGAGGTACACTGGTATTTGCTAGGCGCCATGCACATATCTGCACACAAGTTGCATACACTTAACCTTTACAATCAGGCTTGTGGTGTTATAGATGTTCAGATACTCTCTTTTTTTAATTCCATATGAGAAATTCTGGAAACTTTAACAGAGGGCCCTTGTATTTTGTAATGTGTTTTCTTGTAAGAGGATAACTCCAAATTAATCACTTCAGGCTCCATTTTTCCTTTTCTGCTGCTTTTAAGAGATGATTTAATGATATTATGAGATACTGTTTTTAATTTTATTCCATACAATTGCTGCTATAGGATTTCCAGGAAGAATAGGTCTGAAAGGAGAAAGAGGAGATAAAGGTATACAAGGATCAGCAGGGCTTGATGGGACATCAGGAGTATCAGGTCTGCCAGGTATGCAGCATCTGCTATGAAAATTAAAAACTTAAATTTCTATAGCAGCATGTTTACAGTACTACATAGACTGTAGAGATGGTGATAAGCACAAAGAAGAGTGCAAAACCATATTATTATTATTAATTTTATTTTATTTTATCTTATTATAACCTTAAAACTTTGATTACTTCACCTGAACTCTGTTAATCTACCTCTGCTGTGATTATTTCAAGCATTCCAAAATTATGAGCAGCTTCAAAAAGCTGCTAATTTAAAAAAAAAAAATCTGCCCCCTAGATGTTCCCTTCTTTCTTCCCAGATGTGGAATTTCACCAGATTACATGGGTTTGATATGCAGGACAAGCAATATTAAGTCCTGACCAATGACAAGTCTAAGATCCAAATATCTCATGAGCCAGCAGTGCTAGAAATGGGTGCTTTGTACTATTGGAGAGAAGTTTGGAATCCACTGTTTTCCCAGTGGTATAAAGCAATTGTAAGAAACTTCTAAAAGTATTGTGGCATTAAGATTGATAGAAAAGCTATTTTAGATACTTTAGAAGTTTCTTATTTTAATTACAATTCTTCTCTCCCAATACATGATGTTGGGGGATGGTGTATTAAAAAGAGTTTATTTAGCCTGGATTGAGATGACGTAGTTATTAACTCGGTTGTGGCTGTGCTACTTATGAGTAGCACAGTCTTCTCAGGTTCATGTGAATAAAAGTTTGATGCCGTATGCTGCATCACCATGTGTTCTTTTTAACTGTGTCTTTGAGATCATTTCTTTTTAGAAATCATATAATAATTAAATAAGTAAAAATATATCTGGACTTGTGCTCACAAAAATAGCCCACACCAGGCGAGAAATAATCCATGTTAGATATCATTATTGATAGACCAAGTAGGCAACAGGAAGAGGCCAGTACCAGTAATAGGAAAAAGCAGTAACTAGCAAGAAAGAATGCTGGTGCTCCTTCTCTGTCCCTCTTTTTAATGTCTCATGTAGAGCAGAACCAAACCTCACCTGTCTCTATATGCAGCGGAACCAGCCAAAGTATGCATTGTGTCTATCAGAGACATTAGGCATATGGGTGGCACTTCTAAACTATATTAAGTTAAAAAGTCACCAAACTAAAATGTATCCACACTAACACAAGATAAGGTCATGAAGAAACTCCACAAATCACACAAAAAACTCTCAATTCCTCTCTAATCTTATTGCAAAGCATTTGGTGGATAGATAATGTAGGCCCTTGCAATGTGCCAGAAGGTCACCAGTCTCAGACCTACAAGGGAAGAAAAATCCAAAGCAAAAACAAAATCTTTATCTTTATCTCTGAAGTCCCCAATGGACTAGACTTGGGATATCACAGCTATGGAACTGCCATCCACAGGAACTAAGAATGACTGCTAACCTGCCAGTCTCCAGGTTGAAATACAAGACCCATCTCTTTGCTATGGCTTTCCAAAAATAGTAGTAATAATGAAAAATCTGTACATGTGCTGGGCAGAGGAAGAAATTATGTTTAGACTACTAATTGATTTATACACTTCTGAGATGCCATAGTAATGAGCATGGGAATGGATACTTTGTGCTCATGATAAATGTACCAGGTAGCCTAAATCTGAGGCACACATGTTGAGACAATGTTGATACTTTGTCATCTGACAGGTCCCAAAGGATTTGTAGGTCTGCAAGGAATTCCTGGAAGACGAGGATTACCAGGACCTCCAGGAGACAGAGGTGATATGGGAGTGCCAGGTGATTCTTTATAAAATCTTGTTACAAATTCATATACTACATAGAAATAGCTGTACACTCCCAGGAGCAGCTCCAAGGCAGAGGGCAGGAGCTGCATACGGCAGTGGGGGGAGGGACAGCTGAACTGCCCGGCAACTGATCGCCTGCTGTGCGGCTGCCACACAGGGAACTTAGAGGAGCGGGGAGCTGCTAGGGGGGCTGCTGGTCCACCCTGGTTCCAAGCCCCAACCAGCTAGCTCCGACGGGCTGCTCTTTCTGCAAGCAGTGGACAAAGCAGGCGGCTGCCAAACAACGTTATAAGGGAACATGGCGCAACTTTAAACTAGCATGTTCTCTGATCAGCAACGTAACAATGAAAAAACGTTAACCAGGATGACTTTAAGTGAGGAGTTACTGTATTCCAAAAGGTGAAGCTGAAAGCTCAGATTTAATTGTTCTTGTTCTTATGCCTTATGGTCTCTTCATATCACTATGTATTTTTGTCAACTGACACAATATGTGATATTATACCAATTTATATAAGATAACAGAAGAAATTTTGTTTTACACTTTGGGCTAAATTTATTACTCTATGCACTATTTTTTAAGCGGACCTCATTTTAGCTTCAAATGGTGTGCCTGCAATTAACTGGAGGTATAAATAATACAATTTAGCAGTGTGACTATCTGATTTTCCTTGTATATTAATGTTGTGCCTAACTGCTATAATTTCTGCAACTCCAATTAATAGCAGGCACAAAATAGCACCCACAGAATTCAAAACCATTAAAAAAAAATATAGGGCATCACACCAATCTTGCAAAACACGAATGACACAAAATTCACCGGAAAATGCTGGAGGAATGCCATGATATAGGAATAGTATCAGAGGGGTAGCTGTGTTAGTCTGAATCTGTAAAAAGCAACAGAGGGTCCTGTGGCACCTTTAAGACTAACAGAAGTATTGGGAGCATAAGCTTTCGTGGGTAAGAACCTCACTTCTTCATCTGAAAGCTTATGCTCCCAATACTTCTGTTAGTCTTAAAGGTGCCACAGGGACCCTCTGTTGCTTTTTACATGATATAGGAAAACTCTTCTAGGATTATCCCAAAGACTTCAGGTCTAATGCTGGAAAATTGATCCAAGAGTTATTTCAGGGATATTTTCCCCAAAACTTCTATTATTAAAGTATTCGGAAAATGTCTTGATTTGCTGAAGTTAAACGAAGACAGAACTTGTTAAGATTGCTTGTGATAGCGGCTAATAAATGCAATGTACCTTCTGTAACTCATAACCTATACTATCTCAACTCTGCTGTTTTCCCTTACTACTTTTAATTGCAACCATTTCTTTTCATATGTATGTAAGAAAATAGAGTACTGTCAATTATTTGTTTTTCTTTAATGAAGAGTTGGTAACTAAAAAGATAAAGCATAGAAAGTATCTAGTATGATATGTAAGGATGATGCTTTTGAGAGTGATACCTATATTTGCATCACTCCAGGTTCTAAAGGGGAGAGAGGATCTCGAGGTTTACCAGGACCATCCGGTGCACAAGGCCCTCCAGGCCTTCTTGGTTTTCCAGGTGATAAAGGAGAACCAGCTAGTTCAGCATCTGGGCCTCCAGGAAAACCAGGACCAAAGGTACAGCAAGAAGACAACGGATAAGCTATGGTAATGACACAATAGGCAGCACCTTTGAATGCGGATGAAATAATCTGAAGTATAAGTAAGGGCAGAAAATTATTATGGAGCAAATTAACCCATTCAGCATTGTAGGGAAATAATCTGCTGTTGATGAGAAATATTGAAATCCTATTCTGTCAACATTTTAGGAGAAATCAATGAGTTGGGGTTTTTTCCCCTGGGTCCAGGAGTTTCATATTTGTAAAGATGGAACCTTTTGGAATAATTTTCATATTTTTATTTATGAAGACTGGTCCTTTTGAGAATAAGAACTGGTGCTTACAAATATTTGCTGACTATTATCGAGTGGTACAGAAAAAAATCCATTTTTCACATGTAAAGAAAATAACACAGTTTTAAAGTTGTGCTATCAGTTTTTGACGGAGTAGTAATGTCATGATGAAACATGAGTTGTTACTTTTTTAAACAGTTCAACTTTCTCTAGAAAACATAGGCCACGTGCCTGTAATTCAATGTCACATATTCAGGCCCAGGAGCAGCTAAACCCCACTTTTTCAAAGGCAAATTAACTGTAATCTGTTTTACTTGCTGCATAAAATAATTTGAAATGTGTGGATCAGCTTGTATGTTGTATTATACCTTGGGCATTCCATCCAATCTGTGTGTCTTGATTTTTATACCATCCCCATGCCTGTTCTATCTAGGCACCATTACTTATTATCTTGGACCTATATGTAAGAACATACAAATTATATTGGGTCGGACAAATTATCCGTCTACTTCAGAGCCTTGTTTTTGACAGTGGCCTAAACCAGATAATTCAGAGGAAGGTGGGAATTTAAAAAAAAAAAAAAAACTCATCTGGACCTTTGTGTACAACTATATATTATGGCGAAATTAATTCCAAGCCCCCCAGAGGGTGACCATTTTATATTCAGGAGCTGTTAAAACAGCTAGTGTAAATGCAGATAAAGTGTGTGTGCTGTTGGTGATGCTGAGTGTGGGGGAAAATAGAGGCCAGAGATTCAGGGAACTGCTTTGTGAGATATTTAAAATACATTGGACATGTGTTTTAGAAACTAAGATCTCTCTTGGCAACCGTCAGTGGTGCATTATAAAATTTTAGGAGCAACATTTCATATGCCTACTTTGATATTATTTTCTGTCTGCAGATCATCTCACAACAAATAGCCATGATTATATTCACATCACCTTTAATATATGTGATTTTTTAAAATGCTACTAATTCAATATGCATTTTAACTTAATGAAATGCTTATGTAAAATGTATTTGGCTGCTGCTTCTTAGGGTGATCCAGGTCCCCCAGGAGAAATGGGAAGAAAAGGGGAAAGAGGATCACCAGGTCAGCCAGGACTTGTAGGAGAACCTGGACTAGCTGGAAACAGGGGGGATTGTGGAAAACCAGGAGCTCCAGGTGAGTTTTGGTTTTGGAAAATGGTGAGATTTTACATGTTTTTAGCAAAAGGGAATCTCCAAATCTTCCAACAGAAATAACTAGGCCAGTTCCTCAGCTGATGGGAGTTGGCAAAGCACCATTGAAATTAAGGGAGCCGTGCTAGTTTACATCAGCTGAGAATCTGGTCAAAGTAAAATAATAGTAGATCTAACAAACCATTAACTCTGGATCCAGTATTGACCTGAATTCAGGGTGATGCAGCTTTTTCTTCTTTTTCTCCCAAACTCTCCCCCCATTTACAGGGCCATCTAAATGTGCTGGAGATACTGGCGCTAAAGGGTGCAAGGGGGTGGCAGGACCGAGAGGCACTGAAGGCCCTCCAGGTTGGATTTTTATCCTCTCTTTCATTTCTTTCCCAGCTCTCTGCATTCTTGTTTGTTTCCTCTGTTGGCATGAGATAGTTGAGATTTTCAGTTTCTTCTGAGTTTTTTGCAAATTACTTTATATATTTTTGAAATTGAGTTCTAAGGTTTTTTAACATTTCCATCATAAAGCTATAGGTACAGTTAAAAAGTTTTAGTACAGTTTTAAACCCAGAGAAAGGGTTTTTTAAATATCAGGACACTAAAGCTAGCAGGGACATGTAATAGCCTCACAAGTGGTGAGAAAGGCCTGCTCTGCCTTATGAAATATCATTGAGATCTCCACAGTGGATGAAAAAACAAAGACTTAGCCAGAAGTAGAAAAGAAGCAATCAGAGAAGAGAGCAAAAAAGACAGAGCATGACAGTCCATTGCTAGAGTAATAAAGATCAGAACACTGATACATACAGGGAGTTCTATAAATATCTACTATACATTTTATTGAAGTGAAAACAATGGAGGAAATAGCCATTATCAACAAAATTAGTATTGAGTATTGTCATAGCCAGATTCCGGTCTCATTTACACCAAGGTAAATCTGGAGTAGTGCTGTTGACTTCTATGAAATTACTTTAGATTTATACTAGTATAAGAGAGGTCAGACTCTCATTCTCACTCAGTAAGCCTCAAACCCACCATATGATCTTGGCATTGAGACCCTGTGGCCCAAATGGGGTCCCATTATTGTGATCCCATTGATGGACTGGGTCCTACAATTTCCCTGAAAGACAGAAGAAAGTAGCCTGTAAGCATAATGTGGGTCTAATCCTGAATCCATTGAAGTCCATGGGAGTTTTGCCAGTGAGTTCCATGGGAGCAGGATGCTGCACTTTACCACCATTTATACACTAGTACAGTTGTGGGTTTTTTTAATGCACCACTGTTAATAACACTTTAGTAAATGAGCATCATTTCCTTGTCATTTTGCATTTCAAAAAGATAAGTAAAAATGAAAATGACAGTTTATAATTCTCAGGTGCAATAGGAGCCCCTGGAGCCAACGGAGCTGTTGGGGAAAGGGGGAATCAAGGACGGGATGGTATTCCTGGCTCCCCAGGGGAAAAGGGAGAACAAGGTACTGCAGTATAATATTTTCATGTTATTTTAAACTCATCTCCTTTCCTGTTCACAATTCTTGTCAATCCTGTGGGCTAAAAGAGGAATCCCTGAAATACAAAAATTATGTTGGTAACTAAAAGGTTTCTTTCACACTTCACAAACTTTCTATATGAATTTTGCATGGGACATCAAAATACAGTATATACACATGGCTCCTGCATGACATTTCTGGTTTATCGTGATCATTACATAGTCCATTTTAATGTCTACTTCTACAAAGATAAGGGTATTGCTGCTAACATCTTAGGTGGCCTCAAAAAGAGTTAGAGATTTTACACCTTTATGATGAAGCAATAGCCTCAACTTCTAGATAGAATAAGAACTTAGAAGCCAATCTTGGGTTTACTCATATGAATAAAATTACTTACCTGCCAACATCTTTGCAGGATCCAACCCTTTAACTCTCAAATCCTTCAGTTAGATGCTCTTCCTCTTTTTCCCCAGCAGCCACAGAAAGTTACAGTTCTTCCTCATTTACAGAAGAAAAGTGTTTTCACATTTTTAGCCTCAAGTTGCTTTTTTGTGTGTTAGTACAAAAACAGATATTCAGTATTATTTCTTCATATCAAGTTCTTAATAATGACTGGCATATTATTTTCACTTTTCACATACTTAAGTTTCTTTTCTCATTTTTCTTAGTTGCTGATTTAAAACAAATGCAGTGGTTTTCCTGGCTTTCTCGTGTGTGTGTGTGTGTGTGTGTGTGTGTGTGTGTGTCTGTGTCTGTGTCTGAAAAAAGGCTTTAGCACTGGTAAGATACACCTCAAATCTGACTGTAAAATGTGCTTCCCAGATAAAAAAAGATGGTACCTCATTCATATTTCCGAGTAGCAGCATAGCACAGATCCAAACTAATAAAGATTTTTCAGATAATTAAAATGTGATGTTTGATCCAGTATATATTGAACAAATGTATGGAATGTTAGACGAATATAACATGTATCTTCCACCAGTGCTTAGGGGCTGTTGAGTCGCATGTGATGTGAAATGTTATTTTGCAGGTGCACCAGGATGGAAGATTAAAGGTCCGCAAGGTATTTCTGGTCCTAAAGGTGAGTTTTCTTTTCAGATACCATGAGTTTGGTTTTTAAACAGGTTTGAGGATTTTTTTGCCCCGCCCCCTTTTTTTAAGCCAAATTCTGCACTTGGATGCTTAAATTGTCACTTAGGCTCTTAAAAAAGAGGGAGAGTGAGGCTGTAGTTAAAACCAGTGATCTGGCCCTATTTGTTAGGTTTCAAGATGTCTTACTTGTACAGTTAAGTCTATATAATGCAGAGAAATCAAAGACATATTTTCTGCTTTTATAAAGGTGTAGTCAAGCACAGGAGTCTCTAGTTTGTTTTTTATTGCAATTTGTTTATCAGGATATGTTCTAACACAGGTAGCTGTTGCTACTATGCACTAACCATTGTCTGCCAGGATAAAAGAAAGCCACATCCATTTCTTTTCATGTAAATTCCCTTTCACTTTTATTCAGCTCTCTCTTCTTGTATCTACATGGTTGGAGTTGGAAGAGGGGGAAATGATTTCCTGAGCGTGACAACAGCAGTTCCCAATCTCTATGTTTTGCATTGTTTTTCTAATGCTGGGAGGGATCCAATAACATCCCTCAGTAATGAAAAGATTTCCCTTCACATGTAAAACAAGGAGTTCAAGAACAGCACTATGAACAAAATAAGTCCGTTCTGGATCCTGATATTTTTAGCTGTGGCTTGGTTTAAAAGGATTTGCCAGTTCCATCTGCAAAACTATAGCATTTTTTTTTTATCATGGCAACCAACAATCCTATGTTTTTTTCTTCCTCAAATCTTTCCACTCCTTTATCAAAATAACTCCTTTGCACAGCCAAGCTCTCCAGTGCAGTCTGAGGAACAGCAGCATGTTAACCATCCCACAGTGAGTGCTGCCTGCCCTGAGCTACATTGGCTTACAACAAGTTGTCTTGTGTAACAAACAGCACTTGGCACCTACTCTGACAACAGTCCCATTTTCAACATATAATAAATGTGTGCATTCTTGGTTGTCGGGATTCTGAAAGTAATGGCTGCCCTACTGAAAATTATCTCAGAACTTATTATGCAACTTTTTATGTTTCACAGGAATCAAAGGTGACGTGGGGATTCCTGGTTGTCCAGGACCAGAAGGTATTAAAGGTCTAATGGGGGATCCAGGACCAATTGGACCTCCTGGATTGAATGGAAAGCCAGGATTCCCAGGTGCACCAGGCATAATGATTCCTGGCCAGAAAGGAAATAGAGGTCCTGCCGGAGTGGATGGACGACTGGGTGTGTTGCTCTTATTTCTTATTGATGCGAAAAGAAGTTTTAGTATCTAGTGGAGATGGTTTGGCAAATCTAGAATCACCGGTGACAGGGGCTTATGCACTTTATAATTAAACAGATAATTGCTTTATCAGTTGGTGTATCTTTCCCATTGCAAAAAATGATGGACGTCTACACAGTGAAACATAAAATTAAAATAACATAATGGCTCTCAATCCATGAACCACATCTTCTCCCAATCCCTCCCCTGACCCCTACATAAACCCATTTCCCCTTGGATCCTGCGCCAGCCCTGGGCCAGTGGGTTTGCACAGGTATTACGGAGAGCCTACTTAAAGGCAAGGAGGTAGCACTGGTGTCACTTAAAGCCTAATTTGGTAACTGGTGCTGGATGCAGCTCTCAACCCAGATTTCAGGTTGTGTGTGCAGGGCTGGTAGTTGGAAAAAATACACATTTATGCTTCTTGCTTTGGAATCATTGAGGGCCATTGAACGTGGAGCCCCATGATGCCACTTCTGCAGAGTCACTTTTCATGGCAGAGCTGTGCTGTAAATAATGCTGCCATGAAATATGTCTACTGGATGCCTTTACTGATTCAGCTTTTTTTTTAATGTAGGTATTCCTGGTAGTCCAGGATCTTCTGGAACCCCTGTGTACAGCATAAAAGGAAACAAAGGTGTTAGAGGTATAGATGGCATACCAGGACCACCAGGATTGGTAGGCAATATTGGTCCTCAAGGTTTAACAGTAAGTGAAATGAATACTCCTCCTTTCTCACTCACTTTTTAATTTCACAGTTTTGGTGAAAATTACACCCAGGCAAAAAAAGTTGTGATGTAAGAAAGAAATTAAGGTGAGTACTTGTTGTGCATAAGCTTCAGGGGGCATCTATGATAAATGAAGGGGTAGGGGATAGCTCCCTTTTATGGACACCCAGCCAGCCAGTTAGCTATAAAATCCCTGTTAGTAGCTGTTCTCTACTTGCTTTACCTGTAAAGGGTTAAAAAAGCCCATAGGTAAAAGGAAGGGAGTGGGTACCTGACCAAAAGAGCCAATGGAAGGGCTAGAACTTTTTAAACTTGGGGGGGAAAAACTTTCCCTTTGTCTGTCTGTCTGTTGTTCTCCTGGAGAGGCGACACAGAGCAGCAATGCTGTAAGAAGCTTGCACGAGGTATGAAAAATCAACAAATCATACCTAGAAACTACTCATTTGAAACCCCAGATATGTAAGTAGATCAGGAAATGTCTAGGAAGATGCAATTAGATTTATCTCTTTTATTTCTATAAGGCTTATGTACTCCTCTGTGCTAACCCCCAAATGCTTTTGTTTTGCTTGTAACCTTTAACTGGACCTCAAGAAAGCCATTCTTGATGCTTAATTATTATATTTCCTCTTTTTAAATCTAGCAATAGCTTAAGTTCCAGATGTATTTTCTTTTTGTTTTTAATAAAATTTACCTTTTTTTAAGAACAGGATTGGGTTTTTTGTGTTCTAAGAGGTTTGTGCATATGTTGCTTAATTAGCTGGCGGCAACAGGTGATTTGCTTTGTTTTCTTTCTCAGCTCTTCCTCAGAAGAGGGGTGAAAGGGCTTGAGGGTACCCCACAGGGAGGAATTCCTAAGTGCACCTTCCTGTGTTCCAAGGGTTTTTTTTGCATTTGGGTGGTGGCAGCATCTACCCATCCAAGGTCAGAGAGAAGCTGTACCGTGGAAGTTTAATACAAGCCTGGAGTGGCCAGTATTAATAGTTAGAATCCTTGCAGGCCCCCACCTTCTGCACTTGAAGTGCCAGAGTGGGGAATCAGCCTTGACAGCATAGAACACATCACCATGAATTTATAGTAGTTTCCTTGCTTTTGCTGTTTTATCATTCCTGAGTGTAGCTCTTCGTGGATGAAATTCTGTTTACTTATTTACTTCTTAACAATGGGCAGAATATTTTTAGTGTGCTTGCAAACACGAAGGGTCAGATATTGTCTGATTACAGTATGTTTGTAGGCACATTTTGCAGTAGCTCAGATATTTCCCCTTTGGACATTCTCTCTCAATTTTTAGTTAAGTTGTATAAATTATTGAAAATGTTTTGTGTCTTTCTGTTTGCCTGAAAAATAGCATAGTCGGTAACATATTAAATTCTAAGTAAAAACCCAGACAGCATATCTTGCAGTGTCTGAATACTGTTATGATTTTTCTTCATTCTTGTTGTCTGACTTGCAGGGAGTTGAAGGCACCCCAGGCAATGCAGGCCCTAGAGGTGAACCTGGCTTTCCAGGACTTCCAGGTGTAACAGGTATTCACCTATTTATTAAACATACTTTTTGTGGACAGCACAGTACCAGTTGTATAACTGGAGACATGGAACCTTCTTAGTAAAACGTGGCTGTAGAAGGGTCAGGGATGGAAAATTCACCAGAAGACCAGGTTTGCTCACAACTCATCCTCTCTGGGTTGTGTTTTATTGCAGAGATTCTGGTTTAGTCCAACCTGACACCAACTCAGTAAAAAGCATCTGCCTTCCCTCCATGCAACTTTTCAATCAATAAACTCGCAATACAAAACAGGGTGGCTCCTATGGTTTACGAGACCTTTCAGCCATGGTTTCTAGTCAGCACAGCCAATTGTACCCTATTCCTATCCACCATGATCCATCACTATGCACAAGAACACCGTAAGGATTTGGGGGAAGGTTTGCCAATGGATACATTCCACCCAAAGCCGATTGATTTTACATAAAAATGTTATGGGGGTTGGGATGAGGATACATTTTTAGTTTGCCACAACCCCAGTTCTTTGGGTCAGGGACTGTCTTTTATGTTTGCACAGCACCTAGCACAATGGGACTCTGATCCTGATTGGGCCTTCTGTATGCAATTTTAATACAGGATAATGCATTTTATTGCCAACACAGCCCTGGGCAAATGACCAGGATTCCATCCCATATTTGGCAGCTGTTAAAAATAAAAATCTGTATTATTGTAAATTGACTATATTTTATATGTAAATAATTGAGCATCAGTAATCATGGAACCCTACAGTGCCATTTTTACCAAGTAAACAGACACTGTAGCTTTTTGTTAAGACTCTGTGAGATCATGTACCCGGAGGATTCTGAAACGAATCTCTGAAACCACCGATAGTTCTTTTGGCTTCTACAATCATGCATGTGTCTAATCTACCTTTTTAGGAGAAAAGGGTAATCGAGGACCCCCTGGACCAATGGGTGCAGCAGGACCTATCGGACCAAAGGGCCCCCCTGGTAACCATTATTGCAGTCCTTCTCATTCTAGCGCCCCAAAACTGTTTTGGGGGGTGGGGTATTAATATAAAGCATCCAGCTCTTTGTTGTATTTCCACTCTTAGGTCAGCCTGGAGCACCTAGGAAAGCAACATATATCCCAGGAAACCAAGGACCTGCTGGATCACCTGGAAGCCCAGGACTACCAGGAGATCCAGGACCTCGAGGGCCACCAGGATTACATGGTATATGTTTTACCATTTGCCTAGGCTACTTGATGAGACTTGTTCATTGTTGGCTGGCACCCTGAATTTCTGCATAGACATGTTTATCTCTCTTAATATCGCTTTCCTTTTCTATTATATTTTAGTGTCATATGGACAGCCTCCTATTCATAACTTTACCCCTCTAGTTCACTGGGTTGGTGAGCAGTTCCCTTAACATAGATCTGTGCAAAAAACAATTCACAAACATTTTTGTCATGCTGTTCACAATTTCCTTTTGAGTAGATTCATAACCGTTATATTTGTAAAAGGTGATTCATCTTGACAAAAAATACCCGTTATAATACATAACAAAATGTGTATCTCTTTCAGGGGTTGACCTCACAGCATTTTTGTCTATGATTGTCATGCGGGGGCATTTGTTTTGTTTTATCTACTTCACGTCAGCTCAGAAATTGCTTTTTGAAGAATCCTGGCCCCCATCAGGATGAGTATTCTCATCCCAAAGGTTCTTAAATGAAAGACAAGAGCCAAGTAAACTCAGCCACCATCCCACTTCCTCTCTACTCCTGTTCCCTTTTTTGTTTTCACTCTCCCCATGACATACCTCTGATTCTTACCATCTCAGTCAGAAAGTTCCAAAGGAGACCCTCCTCCCACTGAGTGGAGAGCCTTTTGATTTCTTTCCATTTTAGCTTAGCTGATCTTGCCGCTGAGACACCTTGCTAGCATCATGCTGATTCCTCCATGCCAGTGTCCTCAGCTGATACTGAACACCATTTCCCAACTGCTTTCAGACTAAAGGAGGGGATGAGACCAACCAGCAGGGAAGTGGAGCAGATCAGGCATGCCAGAGAAGTGGGTGTTCCTAGCAGAAGCACATAAGGACAGTTAGAACTACTGAGAATCCTGAACCAGCACCTCTTAGCAACCAAAATCAATTTCTGTTTTATGGTGCTCCTCTGAAATCTGGCCAATCCTTAAGGTGTAAGCTTCCCAAGACTTAGCCGGTTCCCTAAGAGTTAACAAAAGGCATAGAATAAAGGAACATTTTTTGTCTCTTACAAGAAAATTTATCTTATATTGAAATCTACATTATTTATGCATCTAAGAGCAGCAACTCATACCGTTTTGGATTGCTATTGTACTTTTGGAAAATTTCAATAAAACAACAAATGCTGCAAAAGGTATATAGTTGGGCCTCGATTTACACTATGGTTATGATCTTGAAAAAACACCGTGCAAATAGAAATCGCTTAAAAAGAAACCAAGGGTCTACGGGAAATAAGGGTTTTGGTTCCAGGCTCGCAAGATGACCTCCCTAATTTATCCAATACAGGTTTTATTAAAAAATTTTAATGAAATTTAAACTTGCTACTAACTTTTTACTGATGTTGAGGATGAACTTGATATGATGATAATGCTGATGCTGTTTAAGTCAGAATGCCGACGGTTCATCTGGGGTGTCTGGGGAGGCCGAGGAGTGTGAAGCAGTGCCGTAGCCAGGACAGGACACTTGGGTGGGCCCCGACTTCAGGTGGGTGAGCATTGATGGGGGTGGGGATGGAAGGCAGGAAGGATCGGGGCCTCCTCCCCTGACCCCCTCAGCTGGCCTTGTGGGGGTCGATGGACACTCTGGTCAGGGGCCCCCACACCCCAGTCGTGCACCCAGAGAGCAGGGTTAGGGTGCGGGGGCTCACCCCACTCAACCAGCCCGGTGCTTCTCCCAGGGTCGGGGCGTGGGGGCTTGCCCCATTCTGCCTGCCCAGCACTCTAGCCGGGGAGAGGGGTCGGGGCACAGGGGCTTACCACGCTCCGCCCAGTGTTCCAGCCGGGGAGCGGGTTTGGGGTGCAGGGGCTTACCTGCTCCCCAGCTGGAATGCTAGGTGAGTGGAGTGGGGCACCAGGGGCCCCCCCAATGCGCACCTGGGGCATGGGGGGGCAGAGTGTCCATCGCCCCCCCGCAAGGCCGGCTTCAGGGGGTTAGGGGAGGCAGCCTCCCTCCTGCCTCCCCTCTCCTACCCCCATCATTGCCCACCCACCCAAAGTCAGGGCCCACCCAAGTGTCCCATCCTGGCTACGCCACTGATCTGCGCATCTTGGTGACCGCGCCACACCGTGTAAAAGAGAATCCATACCGTGTACAAAAATAAAGGGCCACAATTAATTTACCATGCATAACTGAAACCTTGCAAAAAAAACCGTGTAAATCGAGGTCTGACTATGTTAATATTATTGTTAATTTTGTAACAATCTATCGTGAAAATTAAAACTTTCTACATATAGCTACTATTTTTATATCATCTTCCTAATTTATTTGATGCAAAATCTGGTAACAGAAATATTATAGAATTCTGACTTCAAAGCATTTGATTCTATAGAAAATTATGCCACAGTATCTGCTGTTATGAAGCTGCACTCAAGTGTTGTTTGTCTGGCTGATTGTTTTTGTTTTGTTTGTTTTTTGTAATTGGTAATTGTGTATATGTAGAATAATTATTGTTATATTAACATATATATATTCTTGTGTATACAACACAGGACCTCAAGGTGTAAAAGGCCTACCAGGCCATTGTGGAAATCCAGGCATACTTGGACCAGTTGGTCCAAAAGGAGACAAAGGATTTCAAGGACAAAGAGGTACAGTGAAGGAGACATAACTCTTTGTGTCCCATCATACTGAAACTGCAGATACGTTGGACTCCAGTTTCTGGAGATCCTTCCATTCAGATACAAATTACATTATGACACCCTCACTCAGGCCTAGATTCAGCAAAGCACTTATGCACATGCTTAACTTTAAACACATGAGTAGTCCCACTAAAATCATCTCTTTTCAGATCTCATTTGAAAACATCCCTTTCCTCCCTTGGTTGTGCTGCTTAACTTCTCTCTCCCTCTGTGATTGACCATGTTTGTTTATTTATTTAGAAGTCCATGTCCATCACCAATCACCAAGGCTCCTTACTTTTTATATAAACAGTCAATTATAGAACAACAAATTGGACCTGCTTGTTTTAAGTCATTCACCATAAAATGTTTTTACATTTACCACTCTCCTGCAAAGGAAACCATGTTTTTTAGCACTGTGCATTTGGGAAGAATGCTATATAGAATCAAATTGCATTGTATTTTACAACTAATATTGTTTTATTTGTTCCACACAAAAGCTATTTACGTAACTTTTGAACGTATTTAAAACGTGTATTGGTTTTGTACAATATCTATTTGTATAATGTACATGAAATTATCAAATTTCTCAAGTTAGGTGAGAATTTAAAAATGTAGTTTTTGTAGAAAGATACATGTAGATATATGTGGGAAGATAGCTTGATCCAGGAGAGACAGTGTATTCCAGTGGCTCAGACATTCACGTGGGAGTTCCAGATTCTATTCCTGACTCTCCTGCTATGTTACCTTCCACAGGTCATTTCACGTCTCTTTGCCTTCCCAGCTTTTGTCTGTCTTGTCTCTTTAGAGTGCAAGCTCTTTGGGACAGGGGTTGTTTGTCTGTTGGGGACTCTAGACGCTACTGGAAGGCAGATAATAACAATATTTAAGTTGTTGAACTATTTAAAATTTTGTTTCCGGATGGGTTCAGTCACTTCAGAAACAAATCAGAGACATACTGTTTAAAGAGTAATAGGATAAAATTATGTATGTTTTGGTGTGTTTTTTTTTTTTTTTAAACAGGATCTCCTGGGCTTATTGGCTTTCCAGGAGTACGGGGCCTACCTGGTTCCCCAGGTATTTCAATATCTGGTCCAACAAGAAGAGGCTTCATCTTTACCCGGCACAGCCAGTCAACAAAGATTCCTTCATGCCCATCTGGGACAGCTCAGATCTACAGTGGTTATTCTCTTCTCTTTGTACAAGGAAATGAGCAAGCACATGGCCAAGACCTTGGTACCATCTTAGAAAGAATTTTTTAAAACCATTTTCTGTAAAACCCATGGCCACCTTACTGAATAGGGCAATGAGCCTAAACTAGTGACGAGAAAGGCAAATGTGCAGTAAATATCTCATCATTTACCTGAAATGAAAATATCAGTCAGAGATACTAATCTCCACTGTACACTATGGGCTAGATAGTGCTCATGCAACCAGTCCCATAAAAGGGGAAGTAAGTAGCTCTACCACCTCAAGAGAGACCCAGGGAAGAAATCCTGGCTCAGGGAGATAGTTCCTTCCCAGCATTCCTGTCTCCTTTACTCCCCTTGGCCATTCAGTATCAGGGACTAGGTGAAGGATATTATTGCAGAATTAATCAAAAGAAATAATTCCTTGCTTTCAACAGATTTTGTTCTTAGCCCCCATGCTATTTTAATGTAGCCTCTTTGAAATTTAATCATCAGAGTCCCTTACTTATGGTACTACTGTACAGAGAAGTGGCTTCTTTTCTTTACATGCTCTATCTGTATTTATTCTTAGTGCTGTAGTTTGGATCTTATCACGTGGCTGTTCCATTTGTTATGCTAAATATCTCTCATGGCTTTCACAAGACTGCCATCCTATGTCTTTCAGGGACAGTTGGTAGCTGCCTGCAGCGATTTACCACCATGCCATTTTTATTCTGTAACACCAATGACGTTTGCAGTTTTGCTTCTCGCAATGACTATTCATACTGGCTGTCAACTGCAGCACCAATGCCAGAAGACATGGCACCAATCTCTGGCAGAGCCTTACAGCCCTATATTAGCAGGTATGAGTTTAATAACTTCAGCCCCTCTTCCGACCTACACAGATAACTTCATTTATTTTGAACAGCAAAATGCCAAGTACAGATGAGTTAAGCTTTCAAAATGAAAAAATATTAAAAAATACTATGCCAGTAGCTAACAAATTAACTAGACTTGCAATAACAATATCTCTCTTTGAACAGAAGAATTTGCAAGGCTCTAGTAGAAATATTTCAAACTCCTCCATTCACAGTTCTGTAATATGATCTTGTTTTTTTCCGGTCAGCCTGCCTATCTTAGCCAATACAAGCTCTGAATTCAGCCACCTGGATATTTGATCATGTTTGAATATGTGTTTGATATGTGGTACCAAAGTCCAAAATGGTGAATAATTTAGATCTAACCTAAATGAGCAAATATCAAGAAGACCCCGAAACCAAAACTGAAACGTTCATTTAAAGAGATAAGATGGGTGGGGTAATATCTTTTATTGGACCAACTGCTGTTGGTGAGAGAGACAAGCTTTCGAACTACACAAAACTCTTCTTCAGGTCTGGGAAAGGTACTCGGGATGTCACAGCTAAATACAAGGTGAAACAGATGGTTTAGCTTCCAACAGATTGTAATAAGCCATGGCTTATTACACAGTCTGAAACTCACTTACCCCCCTTTTTTGTCCTATGACTGCAGGGGTGTTAATGGGCCACTTCAATTTAAATAATCTCTTAGAATATGTGTTAACTAATTATGCTAGACAATCTTGTATTTAGCTCTGACATCCCTGAGTACCTTTCCCTGACCTGAAGAAGAGCTTTGTGTAGGTCGAAAGCTTGTCTCTTACACTAACAGAAGTTGGTCCAATACAAGATATTACCTCACCCAACTTGTCTCTCTAATAGCCTGGGACAAACATGGCTACAACAACACTGCAAATGTTCATTTAAACATTCAGGTATCCTAGTTAAAGCTAGGGTATGTTTAATTTGCATAACTGGCATAAGAAAGACAACCCAAAATCTCACTGACCCTGACGATATTAAGTAGCAATAGTTACATAATGATCAGCTGCTCCATGTGCAGGTGTATTAGGGCGCAGATCAGCGGGCAATGATCGATCCAGCAGGGGTCGATTATAGACACGATAAATCAACTGCTGGGCGCTCTTCTGTCAACTCCGGTACTCCACCGGAACGAGGAGCACAAGTGGAGTCGATGGCAGAGCGTCAGCTGTTGACTTATTGCAGTCAAGACACTGCGGTAAGTAGATCTAAGTATGTTGATTCCAGCTACGCTATTCACATAGCTGAAGTTGCGTATCTTAGGGTACGTCTACAATACCCACCGGATCAGCGGGTAGTGATCGCTCTATCGGGGATCGATTTATCGCGTCTAGTGTAGATGCGATAAATCGATCCCCGATCGCTCTGCTGTCAACTCCAGAACTCCACCACGGTGAGAGGCGGAAGCGGAGTCGACGGGGGAGAGGCAGCCGTCGATCCCACGCCGTGAGGACACGAAGTAAGTGATTCTAAGTCGATCTAAGATACGTCGACTTCAGCTACGCTATTCTCGTAGCTGAAGTTGCATATCTTAAATTGATTCTTCCCCCCACCCCCCCGGTGTAGACCAGGCCTTAGATCGACCCCACATGGCAGTGTAGACAAGCTCTTAGAATTGGACAGGCTAAAAGAAAACACTTCATTTCAACATTAGGAATGTGTTGTCTTCTTACAGTTGAATTTACTTTAATGAACATATACTGGAATAAACCATAGTTACTGTGATCAGTGCAGGAAAATTAGAGACTGAGGGCTTGTCTACACTACCGCATAGAGTCGATCTAAGATACGCAACTTCAGCTATGTGAATAGTGTAGCTGGAGTCAACATACTTAGATCTACTTACCATGGTGTCTTCACTGCGGTAAGTCAACAGCTGATGCTCTGCTTGCGCTCCTCGTTCTAGTGGAGTACCGGAGTCGACAGAAGAGTGCTCAACAGTCGATTTATTGTGCCCCCCTGCTGGATCGCTCACTGCCCACCGATCCGGTGGGTAGTATAGACAAGCCCTAAGGCTGAGAACTCTTGTGCACAATGTCCTAAGGCAGTTATGCGGTGTAGGGTCTCATTTTACATCCTTTATCCTGTTTACAGACCCATCTTCAAGACTCTATCACCATAGTAGGGCCAGATTCTCCACAGCCACTTTGTACCATACCACCCATGTAATCTGCCCCTAAAGCCATCTTCACTGGACCAGGGAGAATCACACTATTGTATGCACAGATGATTCTTGAGAGATGTATAGCTGACAACAGATCTCTGTCCTTTCTGTCAGAGTAACAGAGAATCAGAGTTTCAGATAAAAGAGAATGTGGCTGGAAGAAATGGGGCATGGCTGTGGTGCTCCTGTACTGTGTCAGTCCTCAGCTGCATTTTTGGTCCCATATGGCCTTTTTCAGCCTAGCCTAAGTTAGAGAAGCCCTCAGGCAACTTTAAAACATCAGCAGCACTGCACAGAGCATCATAAGGCCAGAGGGTGTAAAAGCAAGCTTTAGATCAACATGCACCCCCCTTTGCATGCACTCCGTGTAGTTCAGTCACACCCCAAGATTTGGTCTATATTCCTTCATTAGTGGATGAAACAGATTTTTCTAATCGTGGCAAATAAAGTTGCCGAGTATTCCAGGGTAAAAATATATAACACCACAAGCAGTGAGCATCTAAAGCAAGCAAGTTTTAACCTTTCATTTCAGTAATGGCAGCATTAGGATGATTAAAGTGTTCTAGGGCTAATCTCCTTGCCTCACCAATTCCTTGCAGTGGATGGAAATTGTAAAGTCATGTATTTTGGATAGTTTAGTACCTGACAGCTGGTTACCAGTTTACCTGTTTCCATGGGGGCAATGTTATGAGTGCAAATTCCAAAATTCAGACATCCGAAGAAGTGGGCTGTAGCCCACGAAAGCTTATGCTCTAATAAATTTGTTAGTCTCAAAGGTGCCACAAGTACTCCTGTTCTTTTTGCAGATACAGACTAACACGGCTGCTACTCTGAAACCTGTAATGGGATGGGAATTGTATATAAATGTCTGGAATAATTCACCCAATATTTATGTGTTTCGTATTACAGATGTATGGTTTGTGAAGGACCAGCAGTGGTAATAGCAGTTCACAGCCAAACAACTGCAGTTCCTTTATGTCCTCAAGGCTGGATATCTCTCTGGAAGGGTTTTTCCTTTGTTATGGTAAGGGGGAAAATTGACAAAAAATACTCACTCGGTGCTGCTAACGCAGCTTGGAAAGCTAATGCGTTCTTCTACCTGAAAAGAACTCTCCCTATTTCTGTCCCCTCAGTATTTCTGGCATTTGCCCATGGGTTTTTTTGTTTTGTTTTAAGAACGCCATAATGTTCTTTTTTTTTTTTTTTTTTGGCTAAAAACAGGCAAGACTCTTATTAATCCTTTTGACTTTCATGCTAATGGCAGAAGCTCCAGAACAACCAGCTACAGGAAGGGTCTCAGATCTATCTCAGCAATAGGTGCCAACCTCTAGAAGAAAAGGGGAAGTAGTGAAAGGAGAACTTTGGGATTCTGGTTACTGTGGACAGATGAAAAGTAAATGAACTGTGTTTTTTCATAACTGTCTAGACTACAACAAAAGCAAGTGTCATCGATGGTGCAGCTGAACTCTTCCTGAATACAGTTGCAGAGCAAGTGTAGCCGAGGGCAAAACATATTCAACACCATTTTAGAAACTAGAGTTATAGCCTTAACAATACCAGGCAGTGTTAATGTAAATCAAACGTAAGGGTCAAACTCCGCTGAAAATCCATAATCTGGTTAAAAATTGTGTGCTGATTGCAGAGCAGGACAGCAGTAGCATAGACCCCGTCAAGGGGGAGAGCACATCCCATTTATGAAATTTGGAGAAGATCCTCTGTGACTTACCATGGAGAGGGATGGGTAAGGGGGTAGATGTGTGTCCATATTGGAGGGTGGGGGGATCATCATACAACCTTTCCTACTCCTCCGAATCCTTATACCCTACATTAGCAGCTGTGGATGACTGACCGAGGCTAAAAATTCCATCCTCCTGCTCCACAACCTTTTCACGTGGAGCAACACCCTTTTACATGGAGAGTGGGGTTTGCTGTCTTCCCAGGATTTGTCCCTAAGTAATGTATAGCTGCTTCGAGAAGAAAGGAAAGAAAGATAGCTTGTTTCTAGGGTGTGGTTACGACCGTGTGCTGATTTTAAACATGCAGATTTTTATCAACTACAAGAGGTTTCCATCCAAAGTGTTCTACTGTAAAGGGTCATTTTATGGGCATTTCTACCAGCACATTTCCCACTGCAGATAAGAAAAGTTCCTTCTCCGCTTTCTATGAAGAGAGAAGCAATCAGTGCAAGGGAAAACAATGCACAGATTAAAACTGGAGAAATGGCTCATTTGAAATCAGGTTACTATGGTCCTTAACTAAGCAGGTGCCAAACCTCTTCCAGGGAATTTCTATCTTTGTCCTGGGCCTGGTTCTCATGACCTCTCACCTGACAGAGAAAAACACCTTTGCAGGGATTAAAGAAATACCACAAAGTCCTTTGAATTGTCCTAAAGCTTCTGTACTGGACTTCATTACAAGATAGTAAATTGTATTAATGTCAAAATAATACCATCCCAAAATATAATCCATCATTCAGTAAAATTAATCTGTGCTGATTGTTGTTTTAGCTCGGCTGCACAATGGTACTTTGCTAGAATGGTACTTCACACAGTGCTTTTTAGAAAGATATTTCTTGCATTCTGTTCAGTAAAAGGTGTTTAGCAGATGTTCATTAAAGATAGTTTTGTGGTTACAGTACACAAGTGCCGGTTCAGAAGCCTCTGGCCAAGCATTGGCATCACCTGGATCCTGCTTGGAAGAATTCCGTGCCATTCCATTCATAGAATGTCATGGTAGAGGGACATGCAACTACTACACAAATTCCTACAGCTTCTGGCTGGCTTCACTAGATCCAAGAAGAATGTTCAGGTAACCTTTGCTTTCCCAGTGACTCAGCTATGACCCGTTGCCTTCGTCCACACCAGCCACCGTTGCTGCAGGTCCAGGGGTAGCATAGGAGCCATTAAGTTAGCTGTACATTATCTGAACATCCTGTGAGTCATTCTTGCGAGGGTGGCTAAGTTGGCTTTAGGGTCATTTTGCAGTGTTGGAACAGCACAAAGGGGCCTAACAGAGGATCAAAGCCTTAATTTCTTTAAATCTCAGACTTCCCAAAACAAGTCTTTTAAATGCACAGGGAAATATTCACCACTAATACAAGCAGGTGCAATTCCATTATCTTCAGCAGTTTCCTTTGCTTATGTCAATGGTGAATTTTCTAGAGAGCAGCAAGTAAGCCAAAGCGCACTGAAACTTCTCAATCCTGATTCTATACTGATTTCCACCCTATACAATCCCGGCAATTTCAGTGGGATTTCCAAGGTGTATATTAGTGCAGAATTTGGCACCTTCATGCTAAATTTCGATATGGGGAAAAATGAGTATCTTCCAAGTTCATATATCCCAGAAAGCTTTTTATATTTCTTCCTACAACCATAAACAGCACTGATGTTTCAAGAATGTGTCCTTTATAATCCCTTCATCTTTTCTTGGCATGTACTTTATGCCTTGTGGTCATCTTGTACACATTCAGGGGCAACCCTACGCACATGCATTGTGTGTTGCTGTACATATCCCTATGCTCTTGAGGGCTGCACTGTCAGCATATGCTCACTGTATACTAACACACATTTCGTTCTTCAAGGCAGCTAATGGTCATGCCCCAGTCTTGTCAGTTGCAATGTTGATGTAACGCTGACAGACCCCGGTCGTCGGGATCAAATCTGGGTCTTCTGGAGCTTAGTGCATGAGTCTCTACCACATGAGCTAAAAGCCAACTGGCTGTTAGCTAAGGCTGCAGAGCAGACTCATTTTATCTCTCTCTCTCTAAGTGGTCTCGGTGCCACTAGATGGGACAGAACACCACACCTAGGAGATGTGTGGGTTACATTGACATCACCTTTCACCTCTTGCTTAAGGAGATGAGAACAGATTTTTAAAAATAGGGGAATCTAAAGCTTTGATCCAAAACCCAATATAAAGACTTGGTCTTTGGATTAGACCCTAACAGTCTAGATAACAATGATGGGATTGTGGTACTTTACCTCACTTACTCTGGATCAAAATCAGTGCTTAGTGTAGGGAGCCCTTGTGACACATGCCCTGGTGAGGCTGGCTAAGAGCTATGTGAGAGCTGGGGTGGTGGGGACAGAGACAAGAGTGCAAATATAGAAAACTCCCACCACCTCACTCCTATTTTAAACAGAAAAGTACATGTGTTATTCTCTTTCTTTTAGGAAGCCTTTACCACAGATTTTAAAAGCAGGGGAACTGGAAAACGTCATCAGTCGCTGTCAGGTCTGCATGAAGAGAGACAGAAATGCTTGACAGAGCATCAAACTTTGCTTTTATTGCAAAGAATAGCCTAACTCTCCAGAATGTGCATTTATTAAAGCCAAACTGTTTCTGGACAATGAGCTCTAAAATGCTAGTGCAGCACTATGGTGAGCTAGTGCAGCATTTTGATTTTCTTTTTTCTAAACAAATTGCAAAGCACTTTTTTGGAGAAGGCTGTTGTAATGGCAGTACTACAGATCTTCATCTTCTGAACTGTGAGGCAAGGTGGATGATGTAATATCTTTTATTGAACCAACTTCTCTAGGTGAGAAAAAAAAGCATCTGGGATTTAGGTGGACCGTAGACTTAAGTCCGTGACTTAAGAGCTTCCATGGCATTCCTGAGTGAACGCAAACCTTCAGTTATAAGTCTGTTTTTAAAAATGCACTGCAAAAAGAAACACAAAATCTACACCTTTTATAAAGTATTTGAAAAATTAAATATTTGTCATGAACATCTGCAGAAATAAAACCTCCTATTCCATCTAGTCAGATGAAAGTATCTTAAAATAAAACATTTGTTATGAGTGATAGTCAAATGGTATTATCTGAGCACTGATTTACACCAGTGAATTCAACTGTAAACGGATTTAAATACTTGATAAGCACTTTATATAAATTAAATGACTAAAACTGTAGCTCTGAATATTTTGGTATTTATGATATTGCACATGCAGCACTATTTAAAATTTTAATGTTGACATTTAAAAAGTTAATAACTTTTAATATTTGCACACAACTATCAGAATTCCAGTTCAATTATTTAATTTTATAGATAAAGCATAATTAATTTGACAAATTTGATAAATGCATCATTTTAAATGTAGGGTCTAGAAGTCAGCTGAAGGGTCTAGAAGTCAGTTGAAGTAAGAGAGATTTCTCATTGAGGCCTATTTTTTGCAAGTAAAATATTTTATATTTATTTGTTAAAATATTTCCAGTATGTTTGTTTTAATACTCAAATTTTCTCTGTTAATATAACTAGAAACAGTTTCCCCCATATGTAACATGCCAGGGTCATCTGATTAAGCTAATTTAAACACAGCATTTACATTAATTGAATTAATATTAAAGATTTTTGTTTCCTTAAATAGATTGCAGTATCTCTGTTTGCAAGACACAATTCAAAATATTACACTTGTTATAAAATACTCTCAGCAGATGCATGTTGCTGATAAGAGGGCATTGTGAGGTGTAAAAGTCTTTCCTTCCAATCTGCTTATATCTTCAAATGTGACAAACACATGTCATGTTTTTTTCCCTGAGTCCTAAATTCTGCTGTAAATACAGGAAAATACCCACCATTTCTTTTGAAAACTGTTCACTATTAGGGTGAGGATAAACTCAGCATCAACAGATGCACATGAAGGCATTATATCAGTTTCTGAGTCCCTCTCTGAGAGCATACTTGTAAAATCCAGACCTTAAGTCCATCAGAGTTAAGTCCACTGGAGATGCACAGTAGGGTATGAAATATAGTGTAACATGTATATTACCTGGATTATTACAAAGTTTTAAACTCAGCAGTAAAAGATGGCGAATGTAGTCTAGCAGTTAGAGCATGAGATGAAGTCAGGTGATGAGGGTTTTGTTCCCAGGTCTGGACTCTGCCACTCACTTACTGTGTGGCCCAGGACAAGTCATGTTGGCTAAAATATTTTGGGCAGCTTCAGACTCTTCATAAGTGATGAGCACTCGCAGCTCCCATTAACTGCAACTGGAGATGAAAGTGTTCAGCACCTCTGAAAATCAAACCCAGCAGATTTCAAATTGGGCACCCATAATCAAAGGCCATTTTTTGAAAATGTTGGCCTTAAAAATATCTTTATGCCTCACTTTCCTATCACTCCGCATTGTGAATATTAGCTAGCTAATGTCTGTAAAGTGCTTTGAGAGCCTTGGGGAAAAGGTGCTAAAGAAGTGCAAAGTGTTAATATACTGTATTAAAAGAATGCAAGTGGCACTATGGGCAATCAGAAATAATGAGCAAATAATCAAAAAGACTAGGGAAAAGAAATCCTTTCACTAAACGCAACCAAATAAGTAACTCTGACTGTATAGGGAAAAGTTCATTAAACTTATTTCTTTCCCTCCTTGCCAATATGTATACATAAAAATATCCAAACATTTAATAGCTTGTGTGACAGACCCAGACCAGTGGGGTACAGGAGTCTGGTAGAGGGCAAATATACTGGTCACTGGATGAGTAGTTTTCTGTTCCCTGAGTGACCAGAGCAGGGGCTGCACTAGAGTAATCAGGAACCTGCTAGAACCAGTTAAGGCAGGCAGGCTAATTAGGACACCTGGAGCCAATTAAGAAGAAGCTGCTAGAATCAATTAAGGCAGGATAATCAGGGCACCTGGGTTTTAAAAAAGGAGCTCACTTCAGTTTGTGGTGGGAGTGTGAGGAGCTGGGAGCAAGAGGCGCAAGGAGCTGAGAGGGTGAGGGTGTGCTGCTGGAGGAGGAGGAGGACTGAGGAGCACAAGCATTATCAGACACCAGGAGGAAGGTCCTGTGGTGAGACTAAGGAAGGTGCTTGGAGGAGGCCATGGGGAAGTAGCCCAGGGAGTTGTAGCTGTCATGCAGCTGTTACAGGAGGCACTATAGACAGCTGCAGTCCACAGGGCCCTGGGCTGGAACCCGGAGTAGAGGGTGGGCCTGGGTTCCCCCCAAACCTCCCAATTGACCTGGACTGTGGGTTCTCCCAGAGGGGAAGGTCTCTGGGCTGTTCCCCAATCCACATGGTGAATCTCTGAGGCAAGAAAATCCGCCAATAAGCGCGGGACCCACCAAGATAGAGGAGGAACTTTGTCACACTTGTCTTCTGATTAAAAACCATAAATGGGGCTATATCATTCTGCCAGTTTTTGAGCAGAACTCCCTTTTTAACATCACAACTTTCAGCTTAGACAACAAAATAAAAAGGGTAAATCACAAAAGGGTGACACCTATGATATCTGATATTTCAAATAAATATAGTGCTGGTTGCTTTTAGAACAGAGTGAAATCCTGGCTCCATTGAGGTCAATGGAAGTTTTGTTATTTCATGCCAGATATCTGGAAGGGAGAATAAAGCAATGCTCACAGTAAAAAGAGAGAGAAAGTCCTACAAAGCAGAGTCCTCTGAAACCATTTCCACTACTGTACATGCACAGTCTGCCTGCTATGTATCTCACCAACAGAGAAACATAAACAAGCCTTGCCTGCCATCCACCTGTATAATCTATTACAGTAACAATACTTCAAGCCCTGTCTGTCTCCATGCCCTCAGGAAATGCAACCAACCTAATGTTTCTTAACGTGAGGCTGTTTTTTATAGTTGGTTTGATGTCTTGGTGCTTTACAGTGTTTGATAGTTTCATGTCATTTAATTTATGCCAATTTATGGGGGGGAGGGATAGCTAAGTGGTTTGAGCATTGGCCCACTAAACCCAGGGTTGTGAGTTCAATCCTTAAAGGGGCCATTTAGGGATCTGGGGCAGAAATTGGTCTCCCTAGTGAAGGCAGGGGACTGGACTCAACTCAACTCAATGACCTTTCAAGGTCCCTTTCAGTTCTATGAGATAGGTATATCTCAATATATATAAGCCAAACCCTCACTGTATCTATTGGATTTATGCAGTCTTTCATTGACCATGGAAATCACTGTAGCTAAAATTGTTCCCATCCCCCAGTTTCTTTTTAAATATTTCCCTGAAGGATTTATAAAATTAGATCAGTGACTCCCAGAGGTCAGTTACTTTCCCAGTCAGTGAAGATTTGAGAATAGCAGGTTCCAGTTATTCTGCGCATTGGAGCGATTGTGTCTTTTTGACTGAAAACTAATGAAAAAGCATGTAATGATTTGTCTTGAATGAGCCTCTTCATGCTGCACAATTACCCCTTGATTTTTTTGTGAGCAAGATTAACTCTTCATGTGAATGTAGAAGATAATATTTTTCCTGGAATGATAATTTTTTATCACACACACACACACACACACACACATGACCCTTCTTATATCAGGCAATAAAATATTATGTTACCTTTAACAAGCTGAGTTACAAATATTTGGGCTTGTTATTTAATTGACTACACCAGCATTCTCAGCACCTACTCTTGCGGGTCACAGATCCCTTATAGAGTAACCCTTGCTTAATGAAAACTGCTGTATACTGATATTTGAGTGTCACTTAAGGGAATGGGCCAAATTTGCCATGGCTTACACCCTGTGCAATGTAATTGATTTCATTAAGGTTGCACAGGATTAAAGACAGAAAAGTGAGAGCAGATTTTGGCACAACATTAAGAACTACAGTAGCTGTCTGTAGAAATGTCTGTTATATTTCAACAAAAAGCAGTAAAAAAAGTTTGCAAAAATGCTTGCAATTTTTCTCTCTCCTAGTTTTCCATCCAGCTCTAATATCTATTGTAGGGCTTCACCTTCATCCTGCTCTCATTGAACTTGACTTGGTACCCTTACTTACAACACACAGTACCTTTCTCCTTAAGTAGTCCTGTTGACTTCAGTAGGACCGCCCATTCAGTATGAGTAAAGTTATAATATGGCCCTTTGAAGTCAGTGGCAAAACTCCTATTTGCTTGAGTCAGTGCAAGATCTGGCCTCTGCATTGAACAATTGTACATCCTGCAGCAGAAGCTTTCAGAATATAAGACTTAACTGGAGCCTCATGTGAACATTCAGAATTCTGCCCCATGAGGCATTGCAAACCCTTCCCAAAGCACCCTGCGGCCAGTTGCACAGTGGGATAACTACCACAACGCACTGCTGTCTTTGCCGTTGCAAGAGCTGCTAATGTGGATGTGCTCCAGCGTCACAAGGAGCACAGTGTGGACATTCAACAGCGATTTAATTCCAGCATTTTAAAAAAAGTGGTATAACTTGTGGTGCAGAAACTTGCCAGTGTAGACATGGGTTTTAAATTAGGGTATCAGAAGCTATCTGGTATGTTCATTTTAAATTCATTTTTGAAAAGATTGTTGCCTTCTCAATTTTGATTGAAAATCTTTATGCATTTTGCAAATAAAGAAAGCTGTTAAAAGAAACTGCATATTTTTTACTGGCTGTAAGCAGGAATTAAAGAATCATCCCTCTGTTATTTGTATATTTACTCTTTCCTGATTTCTGGTTAATTAAAAAAATACTGGCTTTTTGTAAAGTCAACATTAATTTGCACAGTCTGTTTGAAGAACAGAATGGAATTGTTTTTACTCTGTTATAGTTTTAAAATGTTAGCTCCAGTATTACATAACTGTTCACAACTTTATAATCAAATAGAGGGCCAAATGTTCAAAGATTGCTGTATTTTGCACACTTTAAGCAGTGGTACCAATGAGTATTTCAATTTTAAAATAACTTCCAGTCAATAGTTAGAGTGCCTATTTTCCCACTAGTTTAAACAGGACTGATTTTTAGCTTTTTCAAAACTAATCCAGAACGAGTGGTTGGAAAAGTTTATTGGTTCTGAAAGCATTAGAGCTGGGCCAAAAACTACTGTAAGTCCCTTTTGCAACAGTCTTTCAGGCCCAGATCCACAAAGGTATTTAGGCTCCTAACTTTCAATGGAAGTTAGGAACCTAAATATCTTTGTGGATCTGGGCCTCAACACCTAATATCCTCATGACTGCTAGAGTTAAAGATTAAGGGCCCAATCCAGCTTCCATTGAAATCAATGGGAGTACACTTCTACCCCGATATAATGCTGTCCTCGGGAGCCAAAAAATCTTACCTCGTTATAGGTGAAACCGCGTTATATCGAACTTGCTTTGATCCACTGGAGTGTGCAGCCCCTCTCCCCCCCCCCCCCCCCCCCCACCCCCCCACCCCCCCGCATCCGAACTCCTCTTATATCGGGTTGCGTTATATCGGGGTAGAGGTGTATTGCATTGGCAGTGGGATGGAGCCCTAAGGCAATATACAATGTAACAGTTGTAACTGGTTTCTAGATGTAGCATGTCTCTAGATAGCAGCTGCTAAAATCAAGTTGGAAATGAAAGTAGGAAGACGATCAAGATGGTAGTAAAAATTGAAGGTCCAATGTCCTGTGTCCTATCAGAGTAAGACAGAAATGCTTTTCATGTCTAGAAAGCTGAAATTTCCAGCTTTTCAATAATATAAAACCTTTATTTCTAGTCCTGTCTGATGTCTAGTGAGAGATCAGATTTTATACCTGTAACTGCCTCTGTCTCAATGCTTTTGGCACATGTGCAGGACTGAATACAGCAAGTGCCAGATCTTGGAACAATGTAATAGTCAGTGCTTGTTTATGGCATTTCTTCCCACTCTGAGATCTGTAGCTGTGGCCATTAACCAAATCACAATTTTAGTTCATAATTAGATGTTGATGCTTTTGTATCTATTAGTTTAGAATTTTAGCTATTACAGTCACATGCTGCAACAAGGTTTTCAGGCAAACCTAGAGTTACTCAGACCACAAGAAAACAGCTGGCCTTGAGCAGCTGCAGCCTGTGCTGTGAATAAGTAATTGCTAACCTCAGTAATGGTTGCATAATCTGCCCTTACAGGGGTAATACTAAAACCAATATAATAAAATGATGTGTCTCTAATGTTTTGTGTACCCCTGAATAAACTGGGTTTTAAGGTTAGAGAGTAAATGCACTAGTAGTCACATTTGGTTGCCATCTTTAATTTTGTGCTTTGATACCATGGTCATGAATGCTATAGAAATGCTTAAGACAGGAAGAAATATAATTTGAACAGAAACTCCTTTGTAATGTGTATCAGTTAATAGATAAAACACAAAGTGTGAACTAAGTGACTGGACCTGTGCCATAGCAGGGGTTCTGATGAGATCCAGAATCTGGTCCCGGTCTCATCACTTCTATATGTTCAGCTGGAGCCAGATTCCACCCATCTCAATGTTGATGATGTTAGATCTTCACGTCTCCTCAATACAACCTTACATCAATTCATCATAACCTGAAGATATGAGAAGATGCTGAAAATGTTGTACATGAGCAGCCCTTCTTGCTGATAAACGTATCATGAGGATTGGCTTCAACTGGATTTCTATACAGTACTTGTTAGTAT